CTCTACTAGTCCTTTAATCCTACCTTCATCCTCTACTAGTCCTTTAATCCTACCTTCATTCTCTACTAGTCCTTTAATCCTACCTTCATCCTCTACTAGTCCTTTAATCCTACCTTCATCCTCTACTAGTCCTTTAATCCTACCTTCATTCTCTACTAGTCTCCTACCTTCATCCTCTACTAGTCCCTTAATCCTACCTTCATCCTCCACTAGTCCTCAACTAGTGCTTAAATCACTGCTAGTACTGTAGTTCTGTCTTTATCCTCTACTAGTCCTTTGGTCCTGTCTTTATCCTCTACAAGTCCTTTAGTCCTGTCTTTATCCTCTACTAGTCCTTCAATCATACCTTCATCCTCTACTAGTACTTTAATCCTGCCAATATCCTCTACTAGTCCTTTAATCCTACCTTCATCCTATACTAGTCCTTTTTACACCGTCATCCTCTACTAGTCCTTTAATCCCAGTTACTAGTCCTTTAATCCTATCTTCATCCTATGCTAGTCTTTAAATCCCTGCTTTTCCTTTAATCTCGCCTTTATCCTCCACTAGTCCTTTTATCCCTAACTGTAATCCTGCCTTTATCCTCCACTAGTCCTTTTATCCCCAACTATTGCTTAAATCACTGCTAATACTGTAATCCTGCCTTTATCCTCCACTAGTCCTTTTATCCACAACTAATGCTTCAATCACTGCTAATACTGTAATCCTGCCTTTATCCTCCACTAGTCCTTTAATCCTACCTTCATCCTCTGCTAATCCTTTAATCCTGAGAATCCCGGCAGTATTGAGGAAGGATGGAAGATCAGTTTGTGCTACACTCACTTCTCCCAGATATACAAATTCTGTTACAGACAACAATATTATTAATTGTAGGTCTAGTCGAGGTTTCGTGATGTTTTATACATTCTTTAACCTAGACATAAAATGAGAGGATTTAATGTTGAACTCTGGAATCCTGATCACTGATCAGTAAACTACAATATTTTGGTAAGTGCAACCATTACACATTTTTTGATACTATTGTTGAAGGATTTGCTATAAACCGTCCCCAACATGGGAGGATTAAATCAAATTCTTGTCAAAAAGACACTGTCAAAGTAGTGAAAGCAGTGCTTATCAACTCATATTCTAGTAACCAAATATCACGAAAAGGAAAAAATTAAGTAGTACAAATGTTTTTTTTTTCAGTGGGGTAGGAATTTTAAAAAAAGTTTAAAGAAAACAGGCACAATTTTTTATTTCATCAGCTTATTGATATGGAATATATGGTTATATACCTAGAACCAATGAAAGATCAAGAAGAGGAATATCTTTAAGAAGAAGAACAGGATGCTGCCAAACAGAGATTCCCCGCAGCAGATCCCTTTGATTTAGTCATTCATTAGTCACCAACCCAAAATTAAACTGCAATATTAATATTATCGAATATTTTACTCTTATAATTAAATCCAATTTATAACTATTTTGGTTCAATCCAATATCTTGCTTTCATGAGTTGACAATCCAAAAATAGATGTTAGTGATGAATTCCTGAAGTAATTACTGCATGCGCTTAGTACAACCTAAAAAATCAATTTATTTTAAATATTCCTATATAATAAAAAATAAATAACAACACTGATAATTTGGTTTACAGTGCAATAATTTGGCAAGAAAATATAATTTTAAAGGCCTGCACAATCCAACTGCTAACAAAAAATCTGATTAAAAAGAAAATGATAACTGGATTGAAAACATTATTTTATTTGTAAGATTAGAAAATAAAATTAATTGTTTGAGGAACGCAAAGCACTCTAAATTCCTGTTCTTAAAATTATCTTGAATGAAAACCTTGTGAGCCTTGAGATTTATCCCATCAGCGGAGAGTGTTACATCAACAAAATCTTCATCCTCTCGCAGTGATTTAAACGCTGAAGTCAGGTTAGACCTATAAAAGGTTTAGGTGTAAGGTAAAAGGTATAAGGTATAAGCACTAAGAGTTAGATCTGATTGATTAGTTTTTTTTTGAAAAATGTTAGGAGTAAGAAAAGACTACAAAAAATTGATATCTAAAAAATATAGTAAGGTAGCTTTTCAAACTTATTTTTTTCTCTTTTGTAAAATAAGTTTACATAAATTTTGTGTTAGTCAAAAATCCATTTAGAATATGGCAAGTTTTACATTTGTGGTTAAAAAATATTTCACCTGTAATTATTCCATTTCAAGCAGAACTGTTCTCCCATTTTGATAACAATCGATTCTGAATATATAATTTGTATGTTTCATTAAAATGTAAACGTACACGTAAACTAAGGAGTTTATTTTTGACATCATTTTTTTTATTTCAAGATTGTTGTGTATACTTCTGCATGTTGCAAATTCACGAGGAGAGTGCATATGTTGACAAATGCCGCGAATCAGTATCTCCGCCATATTCTCGCGCATTTCTTCAAAATTTTAATTCACGCGTTTTCCTTGAAGATTATTTCCTGACACCAGGATTGAAGGTGGGAAGTTTCATCCCGGGTTTGGACTCGAAGAATGTATAAGAAAGGGTGATCTCGTTCGAGTTCTGCAGGAAAGGATCATTTACATAGTCAGGATCAATATAGAAGAAAACCGGCATATCCACCTAACATAAATAATAATATTAATAAAACAAATGGTAAAAATCATCTCTTAAAAAAATCTCGGACCAGCTCTAATTAAGAGCAAGGCGTAGTTGAACTACATAGACTAAGTTAAACCACTTCTCTTGTAAGCCATTGGGTTAAGCTAGAGAGTAGAGGTTCTACTAAGTCAAGGCGATGAAATTATTTCAATTTTCAATGTTAAATTTTTCAAATATTAAGACAAACAATACTGTTATTGCAAATATAATTATCGAATGTCCCGTTCAGCAATTGAAAATAAATGAACACTACCTTAAATCCTGGTTTTGGGGATTAATTCTCACCTCTTCTCCTGGATTAAGTCTCTGCTCCTCGAAACAAAAACATTGAATTTTGTTAAAGTACTGACCAGCCTCGAAAGGAACAACGTTGTACGTAGATACTCCATCAATAGGTCTAAACAGTAAACATACATAATTATCCGTACAGTGTACTGTACAATCAATACAATAAATAGGTTTTTATATTTTATACAAAAGTTAAGTGGAAAAGGGGTAGTATACATTTTACAGAGGTAAGGAGAGGCCATTAGAAAATTTTGTATTCAGAATACACTAAATTCCGTAATTATTATCATTATTATCATTATTATCATTATTATCATTATTATCATTATAATGATTATTATGATTATTATCATCATTATTATCATTATTATCATTATTATCATTTTTATTAAGGTCAGTCCGTCAATCAATGATATAAGGGCCGGCGCTCCTGTCCAACCAATGTACAGTAAATAGATTCTGTTTTGACCCACCCTTGCATTTTACTGTGAGGGTTTCAGACTGCTCAATGCTCAATGCTCATGAAATGGTTTGAAGAATATAATGAACAGTTAGTGAAGTAAATTCAATTCATTGAAATGCAACTTGCCAAGTTAAAACATATGCGAATAAATTACATTATGTTACAGTCATAATCTGAAAGACCCGGAATTAATTAACAATTAACCAGATGACTTTACAACCAAAGTTTACAAATGTGATTGATGAAACGATAATCACTAAATAGCCCCTAGCCCTGCCATTTCCAAAATGTGGTCTACCTTTTTTGAGCATTTAAAATTGCCAGAGAGATATATATGTAAAGTCGCCTGATTAACTTTGAATTAATTCCGGGTCTTTCTGATTATGACTTTAGATAGGCAATTTCAAAATACATGAGGATGTAATTTAGTAAAAGAAGAGAAGCAGTTGAACCAGATATAGCTTGATAAAACTACTTCTCTAATGTGACCGACCTCTCACTTGAAATCAAATAGCCTTGTGTAACTTTTTCTAGCCATCCAACATTAAACTAACACTTTTAAGCTTATAGGGATCCGCAATATGTTGGCTTCCTGGATTTGGATCCGCAAAAAAATGCGGATCCACAGATCCGGTTCCAAGGGTCAAAGTATCAACCAAAATGCGGATCCACAGATCCAGTTCCAAGGGTCAAAGTATCAACCAAAATGCGGATCCACAGATCCAGTTCCAAGGGTCAAAGTATCAACCAAAATGCGGATCCACAGATCCAGTTCCAAGGGTCAAAGTATCAACCAAAATGCGGATCCACAGATCCAGTTCCAATGGTCAAAGTATCAACCAAAAATGCGGATCATCCGATTCCAAGGGTCAAAGTATCAACCAAAATGCGGATCCACAGATCCAGTTCCAAGGGTCAAAGTATCAACCAAAATGCGGATCCACAGACCCAGTTCCAAGGGTCAAAGTATCAACCAAAAACTGTAAATAAAACCTTTTCGTTCTAAAACCCAAATCTGAACTAGTGAAAAAAGTAATTATTAGAATGTTCCTTATTCTGAATGGTTCATCAAATTTAAGCATAAAAACGCTAAAAGAATAAAAATTTGATTTTTCTTTTATTAAAAGAATCAGTATCTTAAAGAAAAGTTTATGACCTAGATCCGGATCCGAAAAAGGATTAAACTTTTTTCACTGCTTATCCAGGATCCGGATCTGCATCAAAATGAAAGTAATCCCAAACATTGCTTTGAACTAGTATACTTTCTAAATTCATTTTGATAACTCAGGTTTTATCTTTTATGTTCTAGAGGACTTACTTTTCTGTTGGATTTTTAGCAGTATAGAAGGCTAATGCTGTTTCCCCTGGGTGCACATGAACAACTGTGCAATGGAGAAATTGGAATCATTCTTTAATTAAAGGGACTGTCCACGTTATTTAAAATTACCCTTAAGAGTCAATATTTATCTGGCCCCCCCCACGGTGTTAAATATTTAAGTGCAGAGCTTAATTTTTGTTGGGGGGTTTAATTGCTGCATTGGGGGAAAAAATGACGTTTAAGGAAAAATGAATGAACATTTTTGAATTGTGACACGTTTCTTCTTTGGCTCTGCTATACAAATCCGCAAGCCAATTTTACAGAGAGCAAAACATGATATCGTTGTGACTTGGCATGCCTTAGTCTGTTTTATATTTAGGGTAAATTAAAATTGCGTGAATACTCCCTTTCAATTAATAAACAATTCTCTCCCTGACTGTTGAGGTCTAAAGTTCCAGCGCATCTGTGCTGCAGTGTCAGCGTTGAATTTAATTGTAAGTAATCTATTCTCTTGTTTCTGCATACACACAACCTTCTCAGCATCATGACCCTGAACAATACAATCCAATCTTGTTTCTGCATTTCCTATTTTACAAAAAACCTAAAGGAGGATCCGAAAGGGGTGTATATTTTCCGAAAATAATTGTTTTGTTCAAAAATATAATTATATTCCTTGTAAAGTATTTTTATAAACCCCTAAAGTAATAATAATAATTATAAACCCCTAAACCCCTAAAGTAAACAATTAAAATGCATGTTAGGAGAAAAACATAAATGGTAAAAATAAGGCTCGTTAGTTAGATAGGTATTTTCTTATTTTTTCCCCAAAGCTCCGTGGAGGTAAAAGACGGGGGGGTTAAAATTTATTAACAAACAAATAAATTTAGTATTCCTCTTACCTCTACAACGGTACCACCATAACCAGTGGACTGGCAAAACACCCTGAAATAATTGATTTACAAATAATTTTCCAAAAAATCATTAATTTCCCCTCCTGGCATAACATCAACAACCCCTCAACACCAGATGTTTTTGGTTTATCGGAACTTTTTAGGTAAATTAACCGAAAGAAGAAATACTTTAAAAACTTTCGTATTTCCTTGTGTCCCAATTCTTATTCATTAACCCAATGAAACTTTTGTGGTTATAAAAAAATATTTTTTAATGAAGTAAAAAATAAACTTAAGATTTTCTATGTGTCCCGATTCTTTCATTTGCTTTGTTTTTCCTTCGCCCCCTGCACGGGCCTCTAGTTCCTCCAGTAGAGGAAGACACTGTCCACCCCCAGTGTCTCCCCCCGTAAATTGCCTGCTTCCATCTTCCTATCAGCTACCTGTATAAAGGAACAGCTGCATAACTAGCTCCCACAGTTGCGATCACTGCTGAACTTAGGTAGAGAAGTGTCGTTTTATTTTTCTCCGCAGTGGTCTGAGGGCGCTTCGGTCGCTTACTCGGACTAAAAAGAAACATGTTATATAATAAAATTCAAAAAAAGGTGCATCGGCAATCAATATTTTAACTTTAACTTTTAATTTATGAAGTTCAACTGGATTTGTAAAAAATATACTATTAAATAAATTAAAAATCCTGAATTTGTAGGAAGTTAAAACTTTATAAATCTGTTATTAGTCGAGCTCGAATTATAAAGCTCTGACCAAAGAGAGATGGGCAAAGAACCGGCTCAGGTTAAATCTTCCGAGTCTGAATTTTAACAACTTACAAATAATCTTAAACTTCTTATTATTCAAAACCTAAACTTACTAAAAATCCCTTTATATGTAAAACATTAACTTGTGGAATAGCAAGCCGACTGTTTGGACTAAAGTTATGATTTTAAATAGTTCAATGAACACGAAACACATCAACTTTGCAGTGTCCACAGACCCATTTCACTGAATAAGGCCACTGCACTGGTGAAAAAATTAACTGCACGCACTATTTCTTAAATGTCGTCTTCCTAATCAACGCTCAACAGTTTTAATGGTCTTACTGTATGTAAAATATTAACTTGTGGGATGAAAACTGACCCGAAGAATGTTCTGAAAAGGCCAGGCTGTTCTCTCAGTAGAAAACTGTATCTCGAGTATGATAGATTTCCCAGGATTCCCCCGGACAAACAGGACTTTAACATTATCATTGCACAATCTGAAATTCACAAATAGAACAACGAGAATTCAGTAGAGTTTGCGTACTTTTTCTTAAACTTAGATAATTTTTTAAAGTTTTTTTTAATTGATGAATAATTTGCGTACTTTTTCCATAAATAATGGATAATTTGTTTATCTTTCCAATCAATGATGATAATTTTAACAACTTTATGAATAATTTGAAATCCTTCCCTTTAAATATTGAATATTTAGCAAACTTTTCTTTTAATAAATATATGTAAGATTAAGATGAGGTAGTTGAAAACTGTCATGAGGAAGAACTAGATCCTAACCCGCGCAGGCGCTGTAGGAAGGTCAACTTAGAGGTACCTAAACAAAATTATTATATCAAAACATTCTCAAGTGATCTTCCATTTATAGAGTGGCAAGCCCGAATAACTAAATAATTTGTGGGATTTATAATAAAAAATATGCATGTTTTGACAATAAAATTGATCATTTTCAATTGTGGTTTCTCTATAAAGTGACTTTCGCATTTCAGTTTCTGAGAAACACGTACTGGAGGATCTTGTCAGTGGTTACTACTTTTCAAGCTAAAAATAACGATACTCTTCCCCTATTTTTGATCCGAAAAAAAGCGTTAAAGGGTAACGTTGTGAATCGGACATACCTAAACCAACCAATTCAATCAACTTTAAAGAATCATGTAATCGAACCTGAAATCTCCGCCATAATCTCTGTCGAAGTTATAGTTTTCAAATGTTCCTGAGCCACCCCTGTAACAATACAAATTTGATTTAAAGCACAGTAAAATTAATATGAATTAATAATTAATAAGACTTCTTAAGGAAATAAACTAAATTAATTTCTTATCAAGAAATATGAAAAGCTTAAATATCTTTCTCATTGTTGTTCAGATAGAGGTCTAAAGGGCAAAGTTTCCACTTCTAATCCGCAATTTTTTTGTAAAATAAAAATCTACCTGTAAATGTTGAATCATATAGTCTTGGATATTTATTAAGATAATGATTGTCCGATAATAATTTACTTGCTTGAATTTGCCTAAAATAATAATTTTAAGTCATGAAATAATTTTTTTTTAATATTAATTAATCTTCAGAGAAATTTTTCTTTTCTACACATTTTAAATATTATTTAATTGTGAGAGAAATTTTTCTTTTCTACACATTTATTTCTAAAACTCCATTTCTTTTTTCTTTTTTCTTCTTCATGAAATAAACGGCCGGTTTTGTTTTATAAAAACAACCAAATAACAAATATTCGGCTCTGTCATAACCTTTGATTAAAAAGAAGTAACTCTGAGATGGAATTTAAAGAATTTGAGCTGTGGTTTAAATCTGCCAAAACCCGGTTTAAATTAAGCGCCGGCTTAAATCTTGAAACATTTGATACAATTTTAAGTGGAACCAANCAATATTGAATCTGAGTGCTTAGGAAATCAGATAAACAAATGTATATTTATTATTCATGGCAATATTGAATCTGAGTGCTTAGGAAATCAGATAAACAAATGTATATTTATTATTGATGGCAATTGGTTTGGTAAGTGTCAAACAAACAAACAACATATATTTATTATTCATGGCAATATTGTTTGCTTGGTAGACAAAATCAGAAAAACAAACATAAATTTACTTTTCATGAGAATATTAATTGCTTGGTAGAAGTCAGATAAATAAAATATATTCATAATTCATTACAGCAATGACTGCTTAAAGGGACTGTAAGCGTAATTTCAAGTGAGCCTCCGTGCAATGATGGCGATGAAAGATTTACGACGGTAACCTTAAAAGCTTGTCTAGTCCAAGTATGAATTAGATATCCATGTTTTTGTTTCTTCAAGCTGTTTTCATTTTCGGGTTCTGTGGGACAAGACTTGCATATTCCTTGCTTAAAAGAAGCAATGGAGAAATTTTAGAATTAACACTTTTCCAGTCAGAAAAACGATGACATCTTCCACATTTTTTATCACATTAAGGTTTCAAGGACACCGTTGTAAATCGGGCATATGACATCTTTGAGTAGAGGGTCATTTGAAATGACACTTACAGTCCCTTTATCGATAAGTAATTATCTATAAAACAAAGATGGCCAAACTTACTAATTAGAATAAATCTAAAAATAATTAACATATTTTGCTCCCTGATTGCTTCACCAATATCTTTCCCTTTTTTTGGAGGGTCCAGAGGCCATTTTTCAAGAACTAAATTTTTCTTCATTTAAAATAAAAAAATTATGTTTGAGAGAGGCGATTTTTAAAATCTTGATGTCTAATTTTCATTTTTGTTTTTAAGAGCATCGAAAACATTATTCGTGAAAATTATAAGGTAAAAACAATTGGCAACGATATTCTTTAAAGTATCAAAAATCAACATGTCGGAATCCGCGAGTTGATTTTAAGAAATCCACAAAAAATCTGACATTTTATTGTAACAATTAAAAAATTTAAAATGAAGAAAATCCCTTTCATGAAGTTTCTGTACGCTGAGCTCATCTTCAATCTGTTAGGCGATAAAATTTTCTAAAACTTCTGAAAATAAGACACATAATTAATTTGTCTTTCAGACTATAATCACTAAAAAGAAAAAGAAAAATAAGACATTATTTTCTAATTCTCTCTCTTGTTTGTTTTGAACTAGCTGAAGACACTGGAAGAAGAAAGAGAAGTCTCATCCAATTTTCTTCTGCACCCTTGCATACATAGTAAAGAGTACTAAAACTGCTAGCATAGATTCTATTCTATTGTCTGATCAAGAATTCACGAATAATCCAATAAAAATAATCTTGGCATGGACTGCAGTTCACAGCCTATCTTTATTCTGTATGTTATCACTGTTGAAATTCTTCCTTGTCTCATCTTGTCTTTCTGAATAAATAATTTTATCACTATTGGTTCAAAGATTTCACATAACATAATGTCGAGACTTTGAAGAATATTGTTATAATTTAAGACAATACTCTCCCAAAAGAAAGGTCAAACATTGGTTTCCGCATTCAAGAATGGTGAAATTTGCTAGATTGCCATGAAGGTCCCTCAATTTCTAAACTACCCAAGAAGGTCTTTGACCATCGAAGGAGGTTCTAGACCACCAAAAAAAGTACACACATCTAAGAGAACCTTTTCTATCCAGAGGAAAGTAAGACTAGAACAATACTAAGCAGTCTGGAGACCAACTAATGGCGGAGGTCCGATAAGAACTTCCTCTGTAGCCTCTGGCGTCACATGCCTAAATTACCCATATTTTGAAACACAATTTTTCAAAGCTAAGAAAAAAATGAAAAATTCATAGATGACTTTAACGAGTTTCTTCAATCTAATAAAATATCATTGTTCAATTGAATTTGACAGAATATAAAAGAAAAAAATTATTTACCTTTTATAATCAGCGAGTGTTGGGTTTATTTCCGTTAAATATTTGTAAGCGTGGCAAAGACGGTTTAAATCATCCATTCTTAACAAAAATAATTATTAAAAAACACAAAAAAGTTTAAACTTGCACATCACCCTAACACCCAATTTATTTGATATTTCAAATAATTAAGTCTTGCATATTATTAATTCGTTAATTATATAAAATGTTCCAAATAAACAAAAAATACAAAAAAAATAATACAATATGTTGAATAGAAACACGACTGCGTAAATTTTAAATAATAATATTAAAAATATGTTTACCCGAGATTAATCGCCTTAGTAGATCCACTCACTCTAGACAAACCTAGCATCTGTCTCCCTTTAAGTATACATTCATTAATTAAATTATTCATTAATTCATCCTTTTTCCATCCTTTCACATTGATTGATTCATTCATTAATTTATTAGTTAATTAATTAATTCATGAATTCGTTCGTTCATTCATTTATTCCTAATTTAATTTATTCGTTCATTAATTCATTAACCCTTTAAAAATTAATTAATTAATTAATTTAGCCTTTCATCCTTTATACATATTCATTACTTGAAATAATCCCTGTTGTAATATTTAATACCTAGATCCTGTTCCAGTTTCTGCGGAAAAAGATTTTTAACTGTATTGGATATACTCTTTTTCTTACCACTAGTTCCAGATTCAAGATTCAATAATTTATTCAAATATTATAAATAAACTTTTTTCTCTTTGAGCATAAATAATTTCCAAATGCAATTTTTAATAAATCACTTATGGATGTTTGCAGAAAATGTAAGGAAGAAGGGTGAAAGAATTCATCTCATTTTCAAGATAAAAATGTCGATATCTCCCTCATCGTTAATCAGAAAAAAAGGTTTCAAAGATTCCTTTGTAAATCAGGCACAGTGGGTTCTCTAGAAAACTGAGTCAACATTTTCTTTAATACTTTTTAATTAAACATTTTAAATATCAACAACCTTCATTGGTATTTTTTTACCAGGCATAAAAAATAATAAACAATGAAAGTTTCAATACTTTTCTATAATTCACAGAATATTCACTCTCAAGTGAAAACAAAAATCGAAAGAAAATAGAAAGGATTGGTTTAAAAGGGACTATGGTTGCGGTTTCATATCTGATTCACCCTTTAAACCTTTCACTGATCCGTTAAAGTGGATTATTTCATCGTTTTTCTAGCTTGACAAGTGTAAAATTCTGAAATGGTTAGGGTCTACTTTCGTAGAAGGCCTTCATCATCAGCCTATGGACGGGTTACTGCTTTACATATACATCCCAGTTCTATATTGAATTAAGAATCTGGTAAATTATGGATCCAACGAACCAGGCAAGAAAAATCCGCCCAAAAACTCATTATTTGACCTGTCACGTCAAAGGTCCTAAAATGACAATTTCCTCCATTTACTCAATTATAAAGATAATTATTAATTTTCATAGAGAAACATAGATATCTAATATATTCTTGATCAGACGCAGCTTTTAAGGTTTCTATTGTGAATCGGACATATGATACTCTTTAAATGGAGGTTGATTTTATATCTTAACTATTAAATCTGAATCCCTGAATACTGCTGAGACAACCTTGTTGACCAGAGGGAAGGGCAAATCAATGTAGGGTTTAGTGAGAGGGTTGAAGGAAACCAATCCAACTTGAACCTAGATATACAATCAAACTATATTTTTTAAACCAGTGCAGGGGGGGCGGGATTTGAACATTGATATTTCACTCAAACTATACTTCTAACCATGGAGTGGTGGTGGGGGGGGGGGGTTCAATGTTGGCCGTGGAATTTACTACTCTAATAAGGGTATGCAAAGGAAGAGTCGCTTGACAATTCGTTGGAAATTGTTTAAAAAAAGTTTGCATGTTAATCAAACATGCCTCAGGTGCAGGAACGAATGCTCCAGCTGGAATCATGAACTCGTAGTTTACTCTAGCCCAGTTCTGACAAACCACGCTCAGACGAGACCTTTCAGGATCTCCAGGGGCAGCGATCATTCTAGAAGGAAAAGTTTTAGATTTTGAAGGGGTTGAACCATTTTAGAACACCTTGTGTTAGAAAGTAAGTTAACCTGTGCACCACCTTCTTCTGTTGAAAAGTAAGTTCACCTGTGCGCCATCTTGTGTTGGAAAGTAAGTTTCCCTGTGTGACATCTCATGTCGGAAAGCAAGTTAACCTGTGCGCCACCTCGTGTTGGAAAATGAGCTGACCTGTACGTCACCTCGTGTTGGTAAGTAGGTTTAGCTGTATGGCCCCTTGTGTTGTAAAGGGAGTTTACCTGTGCGCCACCTCGTGTTGGAAAGCATGTTTACTTGTGCGCCACCTCGTGTTGGAAAACATGTTTACCTGTGGGCCACATCGTGTGTAAAGTAAGTTTACCTATACGACCACCCTGTATTGGAAAGCAAGTTTACCTGTGCGCCATCTCATGTTGGAAAGTTAGTTAACCTGTGCTCAACCTCGTGATGGAAAGTAATTTACCTGTGCGTCACCTTGTGTTGGAAAAGTAAGTTAACCTGTGCGCAAACTTTTGTTGGATAGTGAATTTAACGGTGCGCCATCTCGTGTTGGAAAGTGAGTTTACCTGTGCGCCACTGCTTGTTGGAAAGTAAGTTTACCAGCGCGCCACCGCTTGTTGAAAAGTAGGTTTACCTGTGCGCCACCTTGTGTTGGAAAGTAAGTTTACCTGTGCGCCACCGCTTGTTGGAAAGTAAGTTTACCTGTGCGCCACCTCATGTTTGAAAGTGAGTTTACCTGTTTTCCATTTCATTTTGGAAAGTATGTCTACCTGTGCGCCACCTCGTGTTGGAAAGTAAATTTACCTGTGAGGCCACATCTTGTTGGAAACTAAGTTTACCTGTGCGCCACCTTCTGTTGGAAAGTAAATTTACCTATGCGCTACCTCATGTTGGAAAAGTAAATTAACCTGTGCGCCATCTCGTGTTGGAAAGTAAGTTTACCTGTGCGTCACCTTGTGTTGGAAAATTAAGTTTTCTTCTGCGCCATTTTGTGTTGGAATTTAAGTTTAACTCTATGCGCCACCTCATGTTGGAAAGTAAGTTTACCAGTGCGCGACCTTGTGCTGGAAAGTAAGTTTACCTGTGCGCCTCCTCGTGCTAAAAAGTAAGTTTACCTGTGTGTCACTTTGTGTTGGAAAGTGAGTTTACCTGTGCGCCACCTCGTGTTGGAAAGTAAGAACAAGGGGAACCCGACCATAGCTGAATATACTGGATTGAGTAGACATTGCACGCAACCACTAGATAATCAATCAATCAAGTATGAAGCAAACGCGTTAGTCAACTAATTAATCAACAATTAAAAAAAACGGTGAAAAATCGTTATAAACAACCAAAGCGTCCATCAAAGCAACAAATAATTACAAAAATTGAAACATTAATTATTTGACCGGACAAACAACCATCTGTCATACCATGCAACGAACAAACAAATAAAAAAACACGAACAAACAAACCATCCAAGCAATCACCAACCTATTAACTAACAATCTAAGCAAATCACCTCAAACCCTCCCAAAAAAAATATCTAACCACCCAACGGCATTTAAACCAAATAAGTCTATTCAAAACTAATTCATAAGCTTGATTGTTTCATTCCTTGATGATGAGGGGAGTGGATACATTAAAGGGAAGGTTGCCAACAACTCTTATATCCGGTATCTCTTCTAGCCAATCCTTTCTGTATTTAGAGATACAATAAATATATCCGCTACATTTTTGGCGGAACCACAGATCCGGATACAAGAGTCAAAATACAACAAAACCTTCTAAAAATTAACATTTTATTTAGCGATTATTAAAACTTCATAGTCTCTGCATGGTTTATTAAGTATGAACATAAAAATACAAGTGAAATATTCACGACCTGGATCCCGGATCCATTGTTTTCTGGGCGAAATCAGGACCCGGATCTGGATTTGTATCAAAATGAAATGGATCTTCAACACTGTATAGATAGTAAGGAGGACTGGTATAATTTACAGTTCAAAATTATTTGAAAATGACTGATTTTTGAAGTTTCTCAGCCGCCACCCCATACAAATTGTTAATTTTACATAAGTTTCATTTAAGAATAAAAACTTTGTTTAAAACGTGAACACAACGAGAGTCGCAAAGGCTTTATAAAGTTTAAATTGGATATAATATATATATATTTTTAAATAACAGTTCAGAAGATTTAACCAATTAGCCCAAGGTCGTTGTGTTTATGCCCGATCAGAGTTAACAAAATTTTACATCAAAATAAATTAATTCACCAATGAAATTAGAAATATCCGGGAAATGTGTACCAAATGCTAAGGTGGGAATCGCCCTGTAAATCTATTGTAAATAAGTATTGTATCCCTGAGTCCATCTGGAAATATGTTCTGCATATTAAAGGATAGAACATCTCCAAGGTGTATATCCAACCTAATCACAAATATCCATTAATAATCAAAAATAAAAATAAATATTGACTGTTTAATAATCCATTCGTTTATTTTATTTAGGTAAGATGATAGGTAACCATTACTGAACATTCCTACTCAATACTTTTAAAAGATTTCTTGGATTTTAACTTCTGTATCGTTTTTGGAAGTTGAAATATGAATTGTTGCTCTTAACTGGCTACCGTAACCGCAGAGAAAAATGTAAGGTTTATTGACTGCAGAGTGTGGCCTCTTTAATATAAATATAACGAAAAAAATCTGCAATCTGCGGGACCCATCAGACCGCTGACTGGAGGGGACCACTTTCCCAACTTGTTCCAATCCGGCCATCCAGTCCTTTATACCTCCATTAAAATTCATTAAATGAATTTCAATGTATTTTCCTAAAATCCTTTCTATGACAAATCCTTTCCGCGAAAAAAAGAAAAACATTAATGTTAGATTCATTAAAAAAGTTACTAATTATAAACTAGTACCTCTGCTATTCTCCTCAGAAGCCGGGGATCCATAATAAAATTTTGCGACAGCTGCTTCTTAGCGCGGATATTGTACATCCTAATTAAATTAAATAATAAATCAATCAATCAACGAACATTTTGAGCCTGTAAAAAAATCATTTATTTGGACTTATTTAACTAATTAAAAATCAGTTGGACCCCTACTTTTGATTATTATTGTTAAAAACAACCTGTTGATGCCAACATAGTTTTAAACATTATATATGGTAATTTGGGTAGTCGGGCTTTTACAATTAGTTAGTTTACTTCTCTGCTAGTGTTCATCCATTATTTATTCATTATGACTTTGGAGCCAGGGACAATTGAATGAAGAACGAGAAAAAGCTAAACCGTACAGACATACTTTAACCATTTCTCTTGTGCACCAGTTCAAGCTGTAGGTTGATAGAGAGAGGGTTAACTATTTCTCGCTATTTATTAAATCTGTGGCTGAATTTAAAGAATTTGAGCGGCGGTTTAAGTTTAAGCCGTGGTTTAAATATGGTTGGTTCCACTTAAAATTGTATCAAATGTTTCAAGATTTAAGCCGGCGCTTAATTTAAACCGGGTTTTGGCGGATTTAATCCGCGGCTCAAATTCTTTAAATTCCATCAGCAGTAAAAACGTATGTGTTGAGAATTCCAGGATCAAGCGGTTAATTGAATCTTTCAGTTGAAGTATTAAAATCACTTTCTCTTGGATATCTCGTGTTGGTCGTATACGAGTGATAGCTAAGATTAAAAATTAAGCACTTGATCCTCAAAATTTAGAAGTGGGCACAGTAGATATGGAGATAAAAAATTCACCTCAAAATATCACTGACAGTAGGAAGGGGAGGAATCCGGCTGACCGACATTCTGATTTTACTAATTTTCTACTTTCTTAAAATAGTCTTTTTTCACTTTTTTTTCACTTGTAGTGTTCCGAATATGTATAAATGTGTGTTTGGGGATTCTAAAATTATTTTGTCTTCTCAGTTCTATCAATATCCTCGGGCATATCGAAGTCATCCAAGAATTTTTCCTGTTTTTTCAAAACACCATTTTGATTAGAAAACAAACAAGAAAAAACAATTAAAGCTTATTACACAGCTGCAGTAGTGCACTGGATAATGAATTTCAGTTTATATAAAGAAATTACTGAAAAACACAAGAAAAACAGCCGAAGAAATAAATAAATATCAATGCTAAAAAATACTTGAAAAATGACTGAAGAAATAAAGAAGTGGCTATGAATAAATTTATGATTAAAGAACGAGAAAAAGCTAAACCGTACAGACATAGTTTAACCGTTTCTCTTGTGCATCAGTTCAAGCTGTAGGTATACAAGATAGAGGGTCAACTATTTCTCGCTATTGATTAAAACTGGTCACAGCAGTGAAAACGTACGTGTTGAGAATTCCAGGATTATGACTGTATTAATAAAAAAATTAACAAAAAAACTAAAAATGGCGGACTAAATGGCATTTTGTTCCTGTTGAATAGCAAACATTGTATAACTATAGATACCGATAACAAGAGAAAAACAGAATGCAGCAATCATCCAATCAGTTCGACGGAAAAACCTTAAAAATCAAAAACAACTAAAAATTATTTTTATATATTTCTTTAGTAAACATTTATTTATTTCCAACATTGCAGTTCTAAACCAAGATTTAGTAACCAACCAATCAGGCGACCAACCAAGTATTCAATCTTTCAATTAATAAACTGATTAATTTACCATCAAAATCAACCATACAACTTATCAACCCATCAACCAACCCACCAACCCAACAACCAACCAACCAATCAAGCAATAAATATCAATCATACAAGTTAAACCAACCCACAAAACAATCAAGCAGTCAATTCATTAACCCGGCAACCCACCAAATAACTAACCAAATCTAACCTGTGCATTTTTGCCCTCTCTTTATTCTTCTTCTCAGCTTTGCGAACAAAATCCATATTTATGTTTCCCAACTTCTTCTGTATATCAGCAGAATCTACGTCAACCTTTAAACAGTAAAAATGTAAACTTGGAAGAAACCAACACGTGTCGCCTATTTGTACATAAATCGTACGGTGTACTTAATCAGTTTTATAATGTTCGAACTTTATCTAAGACGTGAATTCGTGGATTTATACTTTATAAATTGACGAAATTTTTTTCTACAAAGCATTTTTTACTTGTTTCATGGTTTCGATCTTCATCTTAGGTTGAGTACGCTGGATCATGAGACATGAGGTGCTGCTTATGTTTCTAAAATTTAAGATAATAATATTCAGTTAAATATTTATCAACGATTCAGTATAATTATAACCAACACCAATTCAAAAAAAACCCCTACCTTATCGCTGGTCTGGCAGTTTTAGCAGTAAGCTGAAGAAAGTTGCACATTCTGGCCGCCATCTTGAATGTTTTTTTTTCTGGCAATTTAAATTTCGCGGATTTCTTCCTTTGAATTGTTTATCCCAGAAGTTCAGCTACCGTAACCGGTTTCTTCACAACACGCTGAAACATTTTTAAAATAAATAATTATCTTATTGTTTGTTAAAGGGGGGGGGGGGCCTTACCTTAATTTCCCTATCAGGTTCCTGATTATCCTCCCAAGGCCGGGGGCCGCGCTTGTTCTCCCAATTATCCCAATCAATCTTTTTATCTGTACCAGCACACAAATTGTAAAAGTGCACAAACAATGCTTATTTATAAGAATTTTTTATTTGTACGTAAAATTCTCTTCCAAAAATCTCACAAAAACATAAGAAGCACCGATTGGTTTGTAATGAAATAATAATTCTTTTTATTATCGAAGAATCAACAAGTTTTAAATCCACTTAAAAGTTTGTGTTCCTAAAGAATCTAATTCTTCCTCGGCAGATTTATTGGATTTTTCAAACTTAATTTTCTTCCCACTCTTCTCGTTGAAGTCAGCAAAGGCCTCTTCAGGTTTTACTAAAAAAAGAGAATTACTTTAACGGGAATCGTTGCATACTTCCAATAAGTAGAAAAGTGTATATTTTCAAAATACCCTCTCTTAAAAGATGCTTTTTTATATGCTATGCTTTTGAATTTTATCCAATAATTATTTCAGAATTTAGGTGAAAAGAAAATAATTTTCTTAGGATATCCCCCCCCCCACCTCCCACTTCCCAAATAAGTGATTAATAAGAATTAACACATTATATCTAAAATGGTATATAGTTGAGCCGATAATAATTCCATATGAGAGTGGTTGACATAAGTCCTACAGGCTACTACATTATTTATAATTTTTTTTTATATAAACTTACGAAGTTTGGAGTTTGCTTGGGGATTTAAGTTTGAATCGTAACGAATCTCACGGAACTCTCTGGGATCAGAATATGTCAGAATTAGAGGATAGAACTATTTCGACAATTTCCTTCAATATTTTGAACTAGAGAAATGAGTAAATGTGTTGCATGGCTGAGCAGAGAAAATTGAACAGAGGTCAAAACTTCTGGTTGTAAAGCCAGGAATTGAGGAATTTGTATTTTGCGCCTTCCTATTGATTTAAGTAATTCCTGTTTGATATACAGTGATTGCAGTACGCTGTAAACAACTAAAACTAAGGGATTAGGCACTAATCTCTTTGTATTTATAAGTTGTCACAGTGGATATCGAAAGTGTTGTAGATTGGCGACCTCCGAATTTCATTTGAACAACAATTTAAAACTTTCAGAATTTTTCAAAGGATTTATTTTTTTTAACAAATAAAGCGACATATTGTTTCCTGAGAGCGTATTGTCCACCGAATATAAAGAGAAAAAAGGGAACTCCAAATCTAAAATAGAGAGTATTTATGTTTGGCATGCAAGGTTGTATATTTTCTTGAAAAGCATTCCTTTTCAACATTGTTTTTTTCCCTCCAGAAGTAAGGTATGTTTGCGTACAACGGGAAATTTTAAAAAAATTAATCGTTAAATTGGAAAAATAAATGATATATAGGAGTAAATAATGGAACTTTTGGGGAAAAGTATCAAAAAGGATAATTTTTTAAAATTTCCCTTCCAAAAATCAAAATTCTTGGAGGGTGGGGGAATCTTAAATTTATATTCCCAGTAGGCTTGTTTCATTGGATAAATAAAAAAATGATGGGGACTCTCATGACCTCAAGGAAGATTTAAGCATGCTATCTTAATAATTCTTTGGAAAAATCATTCTCCTATCTCTTTAAATTTATTTATTTCCATATACTATTGTTGTAAAAAGACAATTTGTCAATATCAATCGATAAAATGTTAAAATGTTTCCTAAAAATATTATACCTGAAATGCTTATTTCCACTAATTCTAGCAATCAGAGCATTCATTTTCCATTCTTCTTCAAATTATTTAAAAAATATATTTTTACATTTTACCATTTAACCTATAGGGAGACATTAAGCTCAGTTGTGTTACAAAAAGAATGAATTTGAATCTGAACCGGAAACTTTTCAAATACTGGATTGGTTAAACTTTTTCTCTCATAGCAGGAGGACTAACCGATTTCTTAATGGTCAACACTTTAGGATTTGGCCAATGAGAGATGAGTTAATCTTTCTCAGTGAGGAAAGTTTAATTTTTGTTGTTGTTCATTTCAGTTCTCAGCTGTGAGCATTATAAATTAAATGCATTCGAACACTATAATTTTGGGACACGGCACATGAAATCTCTTCAGTATCAAAGGGACTATTGACTTAATTTTAAATGACCATCCATATTTGCATGTTACAGGTCCGATTCGCAACGGTGCCCATTAATCCCTTATCCGAGTTACGATGAGGAGGATATTTTATTTTATTCTATGGGAGTAAAATTATTAGTTTAACCTAAGTGTTTCAGCAGCGTAAATCCGCATGTCACATTAAAAGAGACACCACAGTTAGAAATTGACAATTTTGATAAGAAAATCTTTATAAACTTTGCTCAGCTGAAGGATTAAGAGTAACAGTGTAAAAAAGAATATACCCCTCTATAAATGGAGGGTCACTTGAAATTACGTCGACAGTCACTTTAAGTGATAATCGAACAATCATAATATTTTGTTGTGTTGGATAAAAATCAGCGTCTAGATCTAGTTGAACCAGCCGTTAATCTTGTAATCAGCGTCTAGATCTAGTTGAACCAGCCGTTAATCTTGTAATCAGCGTCTAGATCTAGTTGAACCAGCCGTTAATCTTGTAATCAGTCTCAGCCTTCTTCACTTTAGAAAACTCAGCCTTCAAATCTTCCAGGGTTTGTTTCCTAACAAAAATAGATGTAAGATGATTTAAGGAGAGGGGGGCGGGCGGGTATTGCGTAGGGGTTCATATAGAGATTGTGTGGCAACTGTAAGACTTTAGGTTGGACTGAACACACTATATACTGGCATATTTTATAGTTTAGATACGTCTTTAAGTAGGGCTTGTGTGTTGAAATATCTATTTTTAAAGTATTTTTTTTTGTAATAGATTACAAAGTTCACCCAGATTCATAATGGAATTAAGCCTGACGCAACTGGGTAGTGTTATTCTTTGTTTTGGGTGGTTTAAAAACAACTTTTGATAAAACTTCCAGTATTTTTTATCATAAAAAAATGGTAGAACGATCCAAATTTTGACCTTGAAAGAAAATATAAGCAAAAAACAAACCAAGTAGGAGGGCCTGGGGATGTTGCGCTTATTTTAACACAACTCCCATTTTATATCTATAATATTTTATATCTATAATATTTTATATCTATAATATTTCAAAAATATTTCTTTACAAAGTGACAGTTGGCAACATTGGTCTGGGACCCAAAAATAAATCAAAATTTCACTTTCTGGCAAATTAACGATTTTGACGTAGTTTAAAATGGAAATCCGCAATGTTTTCCAGAAAACTTCGCAATAAAAAGTAGATGATTTACCTTCCATCTTTTTCAATAGCACTCTCCCACTTGCTAAGTTCCTTGAGATAGGCTTCCTTACTCTTCTCGTGTTTAGCTTTATATTCAGCCTTCTTAGCATCAGATAGATTCTTCCACGCTACTCCACATCCTTTCATCTATACAATACAATAATATTTATATTCTTCTTAGCTTCAGATAGATCCTTCCAGGCTACTCCACATCCTTNAGAACATTTATAGACAATTTATTCAAAACAAAATCAAAATTATAATTAAAGGAATTATAGCAAAGAATGTAAGATTTGGAGCTGACTCACTGAGCATTGACACAGAAAAAAAAGGTAGTTGTTTAACAAGAAAGAAATCTTTCATCAGATACCTTACTTTTCTCCGGAAGTTCATTCCACTGCTTAGAGATGAGAGGCGTTGCCCGTGGAAAAAAATAAAATTTTTAAAAAATGATTTCTTTAGCCTATAACATCCCCCCGGCCAGCCATGAGTGTCCACAAAAATTTCAGCCCATTCGGTCCAGTCGTTTGGCCGGCTATAGGTAACATAAATATATATATTATATATATACGACTATCTTGTTTTATTATATAGATAGATAGATAACATGTTTGCAAGTAAAAAAGGAAAGGGCCGGTATTTATTCTTTACAAATCAACTCATTTCTCATTGTTAATTTTCCCTGAACAAGGGTGCCATTTTCTCCTTTTCTGATTTACACCTTGAAACGTGTAACATTAAGAAAATGTCCTTAAATGTTTGTACATACACCATGAGTTAAGTAGAAGACCAACTTTATAAATGGAGGGTCACTTGTAATTACGTATACAGTCCCTTTAAAGCAGTGCTTTTATTTTAATCCTCCCAAAAAAAATTCCTTTTTAGTGGCTGTTTGCCCATTGGATCCGGATCCGTGGATGAACATATTTTTGCGGATCCGGATCCTAAGCACTGATTTAAAGGAAATATCACTGCAATACCTTTTCTGCCTGGTTCCCTGGGCTGGTGTTCTCCTTCATATAGTCCTGGACGAACAGGGCGAACGCATTCGAGAGAGTCGGACGATCCTTATTCAGAGCTTTAATCTCTCTACACAACTACAATTAAGATTATTATCAAAATTTAGCAATAAGGGTTGGACGATCTTTATTTAGAAAATTGATCTCTATAGTTCAATGCAGATCCAGAAAACAATTAATAGTGAAGAACAAGGGCTGGAAGATTTCAAGTCAGAACTTTGAGGTCTTAAATCAACAGAAGATCAAGATAATGATCATAATCAATTAACGACTGTTCAGAAGACCTTAAGTCAGAGCTGTAATCTCTCTACTCAACTAAAGATCAAGATATGGATTATTATAAAACAATGAGAGTCGGGCGCTTTTTAGTTAACTGCAGATCAGGATGAGTATAAATATGACAAGGGTTGGAAGATCTTTAGTCAGATTCATACCAAAATTGTTCATCAGCTGACTGACATTTTTATCAACAAAAAACATTTCTAATTTTTTTCCAGAACTTAGCAAAAAACCTCTATACATTCATACACAAGGAGGAAAAATGATTCTTGAGAGGGAGGGGGGGATTTTTGATGAAAATATATTTCCCTGGGCCCGCGATTTTAAAAATTCCGGATTAACGGACTCAGGTCGAAGCTTCCGTCGGGCCTTATTGACGGCTTGGGCTTTTGGATTTAAGTTGCATCTAATTTTCCACACATGCAGAGTTGAATTCATAAAACCGGGTTATTATGGTGTTTGGCGGATTTCACGGTTGGAAATGGCGCATTCCGGTTTTGATGAGAACCAGCCAAGGTCGGTTTTATTTTCATTGGGCCTAAGTTCGTAAGTCGAGTCTAAAATCGTGCAGCTGTCAATCACGTGACACAAGCTGTTGTAAGAGTTGGATCTAAGATTGGGTCTTAAAAGCTGGATTTCAGAAATTAAGACTCGAGCCGAAGCTTTAAAATCGCGGATTCTGCTGACCTTCTTGAGTTTCTTTTCAAATCTCCTTTCCGTCTTCTCCTTCTTGAGAACTTCTATCTCGTCTGTAGGCAGGGCATCCATGTGCTTCCTGCAGGGAGTTTAACATTAGACATTTTGGAATAGCAGAAAAAAATTTAAAATATTTCAGGTTTTTTGAGAAGAATATTGTAATCAATGAATCCTTGTACAATGAGGATAAATTAGATCTGGCTAGAAATTAACGCATGTGATTCCGTTTTATTATGAGACGCTTAATCCAAATAAAAATATGAAACAAAATAACAGAACTCATAAAAGTAATCCCCCCCCCTCCCGAAAACTTTCTGTTTCGTCAAAGAATTCTACTTGTTGCTTATTTGTTGAAACTCCTAGATGACCTGTAGATCTCTAGTTGGGATTGATGATTCTCAAAGTAGGGCTTCTAAATATTAAAGGGACTGTTAAATGTATACTTAATTTCCAGGGGTCCATATAATTTCATCCAATACGAACCCACGCAAATGTTGATTGATTGATTTTATATGCAGAAATTAACCATGTTGTTATTGTAAACAATTGGAAGTGTGATGTCAAGTTGTAGGAAAAATCCATCCTGATATTTACATCTTTTAACACCGCAAATGAAGTAACACATTTCTAACTTGTAGTACACGTCCAGAAACATATTGCCAAAGTTCACATTGTATTCACATACTCATAAAAGTACCTTTAACCCCGATCCCATTTGGCATTAAGGATCAGAAACGGAGTTATATGGACCCCTGTTAATTTCAAGTAACCCTCAAATTATAGAAGGGCATGTTCGAAGTACCCTGTAAATTTTGTCTCATTAAATATGACGGACTGCCGGCCATTTTTTATTTTCAATTTTGGTTTCCCAATAAAATATACTAGCGAATGTATGGCAAAGAGACAGACAAGGAAACTGGCGGAATTCTAAACGCTTAATATGATAAACGAGATATCTATCTCCTTTTTATTTCTTTAATAGAGTTTTAAGGGGTACCGTTCTAAATCGACAATGCCACTCGTTAGGCGGAGAGTCACTCAAGAGATAAAGTATAATGTGCCTTCAAACATCTTAAAACAATTAGGAAGAAGTAACCCTTTGATTAGGGGGTTCTGGCAAACCGTTTTCAGCTAAGTGCTTTTTTCTTTAAGTAATTTGTATAAATCAGATTTTTTTTGTGATACCCACGGGATAGAGGGTTTAAAAAATTACGTTCACTAATTTTTGTCAAGAACATTTAAAGACAATTTATTCAAAACAAAATCAAAATTATAATTAAAGGAATTATAGCAAAGAATGTAAGATTTGGAGCTGACTCACTGAGCATTGACACAGAAAAAAAAGGTAGTTGTTTAACAAGAAAGAAATCTTTCATCAGATACCTTACTTTTCTCCGGAAGTTCATTCCACTGCTTAGAGATGAGAGATGTTAGTTGAGTCATCTTTAGGTTGGGGTTCTCTCTCTTCAATTTCTAAAAAACTATCGATATAATGATATCATGAGTTATATAATGATATCTTTCAGATCTTCCACCACATAAAAAAATGTTTTTGCAGTGCACATGTAGCAAATACCTACTCCATAATAGTTTTACTCGAGACGTATCTATCCAGGTCTACTGGTTACCAAGATCCACCAGAACTAACTCTTGATTCTAAACGCCACACAGGCAATATCTCGCAGGCTCAACCAGGCTCAACTCCCTAGTTCTACCAGCCACACAAGCAAATGAAATTGCTTTAAGGGTAATTTCTCAACCAGACCTAACTCCCCAGTTCTAAAGGATGCACGGTCCAAATCTAAACTGGTATAATTCAACGAGGACCCAAGCTATCTTTTAAGCTTTATTCAATTCAATACTAAATCAACTAGCAAAGATCTCTGCTCGAAACGCAGACTACTTCTGATGCGTAATCAAAGCAGAGTCTCAATCAACTACCGTTATTCAATAGCTTAGGTTACAAAGTTAACAGGAATTGACGTAATTCCCTTTTACGATGTTTTTGATACCACATGATTAAGACCATCGTATTAAGTATTTATCGCAAAGTTAAAGTTTAAGGTAAATATTAAAAAAAGAATGGATAAAGTATTCAATAGTGATAATTTTAGAATAAAGTGCTTATCTTACAGCAAAATAAGTGGGGTCGTCCTAGTTTACGAATTTTGGAAAGTTGAGTCATCTTTAGGTTGGGGTTCTCTCTCTTCAATTTCTTAAAAACTATAGATATAATGATATCATGAGTTATAATGGATAATATCTTTCAGATCTTCTACCACATACAAAAATGTTGTTGCAGTGCACATGAAGCAAATACCTAATCCATAATAGTTTTACTCGAGACGTATCTATCCAGGTCCATTGGTTATCAATGACTAACTCTTGATTCTAAACGCCACACAGGCAATATCTCGCAGTCCAAAATCTCAACCAGGCTCAACTTCCTAGTTCTACAAGCCACACAAGCAAATGAAATTGCTTTAAGGGTAATTTCTCAACCAGACTTAAGTCCCCGGTTCTAAAGGATACACAGTCCAAATCTAAACTGGTATATAATTCAACGAGGACCCAAGCTATCTTTCAAGCTCTATATTCGATCAGATTGCCACTTATCAAGGCAAGATCTCCACTCGTATAATTCAACGAGGACCCAAGCTATCTTTCAAGCTATATTCAATTCAATGCTAAATCAACTAGCAAAGATCTCTGCTCTTAATGTTTCAAATGAGAACGCAGACTACTTATATTACCGTAATCAAAGCAGAGTCTCAATATACTACATTTTTTCAATAGGTTAGGTTACAAAGTTAACAGAAATTGACGTAATTCAATTCCTTACACGATGTTTTTGATACCACATGATTAAGACCATCGTATTTATCGCACAGTTAAAGTTTAAGGCAAATATAAAAAGGAGAATGGATAAAGTATTCAATAGTGATAATTGCATTTCTTACAGCAAAATAAGTTGGGTCGTCTAGTATACGATTTTTGGACCGCCCCCTCCCCATCCTATCAATTTTTTACATGACCACTTTTTCAACAATTTTCAACAAAATTAGTATGGATTTAGGGTTATGTTAGGTTAAGACACTTTATGGGCGGAGCGCTGCGGCTAAGACAGGCTAGGGAGCTGATATCCATGTCTTACATATAAGATTGGTATATATTTAGGGTTAGGTTAAGACACTTTCTGGGTCGAGCGCTGCGGCTAGGACAGGCTAGGGGGCCGAGCACTGCGGTCACATGGTCATTTATATCCATGTCTTACATATAAGATCCATGTACAAAATTAATTGTACTTGATAATCTATTTGCGGTTTCCTATCATAGTTTCCTATCATAGTTGCATCTAAACTAAAGAAACGCTAGACTCCTTTGCATGACCCTAACCACAGCGCTTAGCTAATAACATCAAATTCAATTAAAACCTACATTTTGACTTAAATAAGAATAAGCAACACCCAGACAAAAACGGGAGGGGGGGTGACACAGTGAGTCCCATGTCCTGGTTTAATTTTAATCATATTATCTTCCAATGGCACAATATAAAGTACAAATTCAAAGTTATGTACGAAATACCTGAATATGATCCTGCTGATACAGAATGAACGCATTAACTGGGCGTTTAATCACGTGATGTTCAGTTCCTGCTGCGTAAAGGTTGGAGCTTAGCGTCATCTGACGCAGCCCTTGGCTCACAGCAGATACATTTCTTAACATCTTCTTAAATTTAAATACTAGTTTCAACTTCCATTTCTATATAATTTGTAGTATGAATGGTTCACTCACTAAATTTTAATCGCACTAAACGAAAAAAACTTTATGCAGTCCTAATCAGAAAGACCCGGAATTGATTTACAATGAAATTGTACAGAGTCTGTCCCAGAAACGATAAACCGCAGCTATAAGGACAAAAAAGAGGGCCGCGTGCCGCATCCACATGTTTAATTTTTCGACCATGTACAAGATCGATAAGAGGGGGGAGGGTGCCGGGGGTTACGATTTCACAAAAATGAGTGTTGAAACGATTACAAATTGGCCCTAGTCCTGCCAATTCCCAAATGTGGTCGTCTGTATTTTATGTGCATTTAGATTGCCAAAATTAGTCGTCTGAATAACTGTCAATTAATTCTAGTTCTTTCTGGTTATGAGTGTAAAAATTTGAATTCTCATAACATTTAATAAGTTACGGAATTATATTTATATAACACTGTAAGTTCAGAAGTAGCGCAATGAGATAAAGTTGCCGCGTTATATGATTTTTCAATTTTCATTCAATCACTTAGGTGTCGTATCAATTGGACTACAGATCGATTGGACTAACGTTCGTTTGGACTAATGCCCATTTTGAATTACGTATAAAAGGACTACAGTAGTACTTTAGAACAAAAAAAAATTTCCAATTAAACTAATTTTTCAATTTTTTAAAAATTACCTCCCATCAAGTTTTAAGCTTATTTTGAGGGTTTATCTTCTAACAGTAAGTACACTCAGTACACCGAGGGCGATGTTTTTTTAAATAGATGGAACTACAATTTAAAGGAAAAATATACGCCTTTTATTTAAAAAATATGTTACTTTCAATATTATATTCATAATTTATCATGCTTATTTAAGTTATAGTGTTTTTAAACACTGACTAAAGCTTCACAAATTTATGGTCGACTTATATCTTAGATTAATCTACCAGTTTTCAAATACAACTTCACAAGTTTATGGTCGACTTATATCCTAGATTAATCTACCAGTTTTCAAATACACTTCACAAGTTTATGGTCGACTTATATCCTAGATTAATCTACCAGTTTTAAAATACACTTCACAAGTTTATCGTCGACTTATATCCTAGATTTATCTACCAGTTTTCAAATACACTTCACAAGTTAATGGTCGACTTATACTTAGATTAATCTACCAGTTTTTAAATACACTTCTCAAGTTTATGGTTGACTTATATCTTATATTAATCTACCAGTTTTCAAATACACTTCACAAGTTTATGGTCGACATATAACCTTGATTAATCTACCAGTTTTTAAATACACTTCACAAGTTTATGGTTGACTTATATCCTAGATTAATATACCAGTTTTCAAATACACTTCACAAGTTTATGGTCGACTTATATCTTAGATTAATCTACCAGTTTTCAAAGAAGTTTTCTGAATGTTAATGTCAAATTTTTCAAACTTAAGAATGTTGCCAAAATATTTTAAAACCTACATATTAAAAATGTTCCATCAAATACCTAAAAGAATTCTCAGAAATAATGTAAATATTTATTTTTTTTATTAAAAAACTAAAATCACATTTATATTAAATACAATTGGTTTCACAAGATAAAATCACTGTTACCCTTCAAGAGTTAGGGCTAGGTTTTTATATTTTAGCTATTTACTAGATTAATAAAAACAAAAGAACAAATGAAAGATTGATAATAAGCTAAAAACTTTGGACTGGTCTGCTAATATTTCAAGTAAATGAAAACAAACATTGATGTGTACAATGTGCATTGTACAATTGCTGCAATAATCTGTACAGGTAAATGTACAATGTTCATTGTACGATGAACAGAAATTAAATTAAAGTATGTAACAGTACAAACAAAAATTTGTAACCATAGGGTTTAATCTGAAAAAAATTGTGTAAAATTGTACATCGTGGTCGTACAACTGTATTGAACTTTACAAATTCTTAGTTTTATTTGGGTAGTTTTCATATACAAATCATCTTCTTATAACCATTAACCAAACACACTATGAACCCATTTTCCTCCTGTATTATCTATCGATGATAATTAACTGTCAAAAAGAAGGAATTCAAAAAATTTTGATTAAATCTCCAAGTTTGTTAAAATACGAAGAATTTAAAAAATAAATAAATTCAACAGACGAATGTTTTCTAATGGTCACAATATTACGGTTCTGAGTGCCCCATGCAGTTAAGATTATAAGGAAAAGATTATTTCTATTGCAAAATATAAACCCTGCTCATTAACAAACAATTTTTATTCATGTACCAGCAGCATTAATAATAACAAGTTAAAGTTACCCTCGAAATTTTACTGAAATAATTACTTTTCGATTAAGGAAAAAGGGATTCATTATCATTCATACTTTGCTGAACAAATTCAAAGAATCTCAATTTAAATTAACATACACTTTTAGTAGAATCGTAATAAAGTAAAGAACAACGGTACAATCAATGGTACAACAATTATCAATCATTTTCATTGTGTACAGTGTACACTGTACACTGTACATTTTCATTGTGTACAGTGTACACATAAATAATTTTTCTTTTCTTATTTTTTGGTTAACACAGGCCTAATTTCAAAATTTGGATGCAATTCAAAATCAAATTTGAATTTCAGCATTAATGGATTTTTTTTCAAGCATAGAAAGTATTCTGCTGAAACTTGACTCATCAATAGTTTTTGTTAGAATGTATTTTCAAGAAATTCCTCCGATTTTTGATGCTTTGGGAAAAAAATTAAGATTGGACAAAAATGGGCAAATACTAATTTTATTCTCCGAATTGATAAGTAAATCCTAAAAAATGTTGCTGCTTTGTGCAAACACATTTAAAATCTAAAAAAATAAGATTCTCAAAGGGGTGGGAAATTTTAATAGAAAATTATACCCCTGTGAATTAAATTTAAAGTTTGATTTGAATTTAGTCCGATTCATGCATTATCTTGTACAAATTGTACAGTATAGACGCAGATATTCGACCAGTACACAATCCATAAACATGTTTGGTGTACATTGTAAATATAATTCAGCAGGAACACGAGTCTTTTGCAGTCCCTTCACCTGCAAAAACATGTATGGTAATTATTTAATAGCAGAGCTGAAATCATCTTTTACAAACATAAGACGTCTCCGACTTTTTATGTCCTTAGAACTAAGAAATCCAACAAAAATTTCTAAATTTATTTTTATAAAATGTGTGTGTAAAAGTAAAGTTATAGACGTTTTGACTTTCAAAATCTTGAATATATTGAATTGGTCGTATGGAAGCAATGGGTGTTTTGTAACTGGACGTTTTGTTGTTGGAAGTTTTGCTTTTGTGCGTTTAGTACCCGGCCATTCTTCAAAAACATAAAAAAAATTTAATACTAGGTACAGGATTTTCCAAAAAGGATAAGACGACAAATTCAAACTCTTTAAATACGATTTCAAGATTAAATTAAGAATTCTGCCTTGAATATAATCTTTAATGTCGTATTTAATGATGTGGATAATAAAGAAAAAAGTTTACACCTTGACCGGGATGAATACTGGCTCCTCTAGCCCCAGATTGGGACGGTTTATGCTGTACACCACTTTCAGCTGCATTTAGATCTAGGCTTCCATCCTGACATAAGAAGACAAATTAAAAAAGAAAAGGTTAAGAAAAACGGATAAAATATCAAATATGGTAAAATTGTCTACAATATTTTTTTTATAGATCAGCTAAATGTATGAAGATAAAACGGAGCACTGCATGAAACAGAATGAATTGTGAAAACTAAAAAATCGGTTTGAAATATATTTCACCTTCTTGGATTGTTATAATATTTAGAAACCCTACTTCATAATCTTCTTATTAACCAAAGCAGAGGTTAATTGTTTTGATGATATTACCCCAATGAAGAAAAATAAATTATTCTCCCCAATTTAGCGTGTTAAAAACCCTTTCATTTCTAAGATAGTGGACTTAGATAATTTTACTGCAGGGGATGGGGGTATGATCTTACATCCAAATATACCCTTAACTTTAAATCGCCCTGAATCACACATTTAGTCTATATTTGACCAATAAACAATATGTTTACACATAGAATTAATCAATTAATCAGTAAGGTTTTAATCAATATTCAATAACAATCAATTAATTAACTTTTCAAATTATATAAAAACTATAAATTCCTATACTAATTCTTTATTATTCTTATAAATCATTATTATTTTGTATACATATATCTTTATTTATTCTGTACCTGTATATTCTGATATATTTTCTTAGCGGTGTCGAGAAAAGCATCTTCGACATTATCCCCAGTTTTAGCACTAAAAACAAATGGATACCTACATAACTAGCTTGAGTGCCCGATGATGCCCCAGGTGTTTATTATTTTACATAACCATCGTTACTCCCACCGTTTACCCGCGCTTTGTATTAAATCATTATTTTAGCTCAAGTCCCAGAGTTTCAAAAACTTGTGATTTTTTCTAGCCCTGGTCACTTAAGGGGGTTCGCTTAAAAATTTAAGTTAATTTCTTTCTTGTTTTTTGGCAATATATAGCTAACATCTATATATAAATATATTAGCAAGGAGCTTTATTACACAGATATACTTCTAAATTAGTCTCTTACCACTAAAATACAGTTCTTCTCATTGAACAAAATTAAATATGGCTACCTAAACTTCCATTTTCATGGAGCAATATATGTTTTACTTTCTTTTTATTGTATTTTTAGATTTAAATAGAAAATTTAACATTTTTCCTTTTAATTTCATAAATATGATCATAATCCAACCCAAAAAAGGGTATTATAAGTTTTAAAAATAAAAACAAATTCTTTTAAAACTGTACAGTGTACATCTCCTAACAGTTATGGGCATGGTAATGCTTTAAGGGTTTTCCAATCTAGAAAAGATGAAAATTCTTTAGATATCTCGATCCATCATTTTACTTAATGACAAAGTTTAAAAGGTACCATTGAGAATGGGTCCTGTAACTCTTTAATTGGTAAAACGCTAGAAATTATGTTGGCCTCTCATTAAATATTACCTTGCTTCTACAAACATGAGTCCGTTCTCTTCAGCAAACTGTTTAGCTTCCTCGTAGGTTACATCACGTTGGGATTCTAGGTCACTCTTGTTCCCTATCAGGAAGATCACCTGCATATCAATCAATCAACTCTTCATTAATCCAATCCATCAACCATTTAATCAATCAATTAACTATCAACCATTTAATCAATCAACTAACTATCAACCATTTAATCAATCAATTAATAATTCATCAAGAAAATTCCCATCAACAGGAGAAAAAATAAATTTTGGTTTAAAATTGAAATTTGGAAATGTTACTATTTCTTTCTCAATTCTACGAGAAGGGGGGGNTTAATACAGATCTACCAGATCTAACCAGAAAACTTTGAAATACTCAAAGGCATTAATTAAAAAAAACAATGAAATTACACCGATATTAATTAATTTCTATTGTGTGAGGAATCATTAATCAGCTATGAATTGTGATGTACCATTTTAAATGTGAACAAAAGGGACCCATATTTTTTTACACAAATGTTTGAAATAAAATATATATAACATTTTTTATAGAATATGCCTAGAAGATATGAAGGACACTTACAGTGTTTGGATTTGTTAGATTTCTGGCATCAGTTAACCAGGAGGATAGATGGTTGTAGGTCGATCTGAAAACAAACATGTTTACAAATTTTAAATATTTTAAGATACTTTGATACCCATCTTGATTTTTTTGAAGACTTTCTTTGTTATGGCTTATATTAGTGATTTTATTCACACAAAAAAGCAAAAATCTGAATTAGTTTCAAAACTTTGAAGAAAAAAATTCTCAAATCTTTTTTTGAAATGTATCAAAGCTTACTTTAGAACTGGTGCAAGGTACATCTGAGCATTTTTATCAAAAACTGCCAATTAGTTTCACCCTTAATATGAGGACCACGGGGGTGAGTCCCCTTTTACCAGAAAATGAATTAAACTGTTCCACATAGTACGTAAAAAGTACATAACTGCCATAATCGATACAGGACAAATTAAATTAAATTTAGAAAGTGAAAATTGGTAAGAAACCTGCTATACAGTATACGATGATTAAATTTCAACACGACTTTTTTTAAATTGCATATAAAAGTTGACTGACCTCCTTGTGACGTCGTAAACTAGCAAGGCCCCGGCAGCTCCTCTATAATAGCTTCTGGTAACCGCTCGAAACCTTTAATCAATCAATCAAAATTATATCAATTATTCAATAATCAATTTGTATTTCTTGATTGATCTTTTATCAGATATTATCCTATCAAGGTTTTAAATTATCTTTCAACCCATGTTTAGTTTATCTTGATCTTTAAATTTTTCTCGATTTAACTCTACACTTCTAGTATATTTAGACTTTTCATACTTTGCGTATAATTTTCTAAATATTTTTAAAAGGTTCTATTCATTAATTTGTTTGATATGTTCTTTGATCTGATCATTAATCTTCTTCCTTGATCTGTTTACTGATCTGTTGATTGATCTGTTCATGGAATAATTCAATAAACAAAGCAAAAAATGAATAAATGAACATGGTACAAAAAACTTTTACTAATTCAACAACGGAGTCACCAAACGAACACTTAAGGCTGTAATATTACCTCTCCTGTCCTGCTGTATCCCATATTTGTAACTTTATTTTTTGTCCAGAAACCTAAATTTTAATAAAATTAATTATTTTCCAAACAATCTTAATCAAAAGTGACATCAAAATTAGTTTAATAGTTACTAAAGAATTTCCCACTGAGGAGAGAGGACCAAATTTAGCTTATGAATATTAATTTTAGAACAATTGCATTACCCTGAAAAAAATCATCAAAAACGTGAGCTAATGTTACAGTTTTGGAGTGTGTATTTTCCTGAGAATTGTGAATTACCTCAATTATTCTAGTTCCAAACTCAACTCCAATTGTATGCGGACAGTCGGCCATAACTAAATAAAAATATATTAGAATTTAAATGGGGCTGTTAACATTTCAAGTTTAATTCTCAATTTAAAACAGGAACATACTAGATTCACAAAGATACCACTGCATAAAACTAATAAAAATATCCTCATGCATTAGACAACGAACAAAATTGACAGAGTTCAGCACAATTAAGATAGATAAACGTCGATTAATTGCATTGTTGGCCAAATAACGATGTTAATAGGGCATGCAACCTCACTAATTTTAAGTCAAAAAATTTGGCAAATTAAAAAGTTTCCAAGTTTTAGCAGCAAAAAAAATTTACATCAATAACATTATGAGACAAAAACAAAACATACTTTTTTCGATCTATTTTTGTCGAACCTCGCTGAAACTGAGCAATTTTAAGTCCTTTTCAACCAAGGATACAAGGAAATCAAAAATTTTAGAAATAAATTTAAATTCGAATTAAAAAAGTTTTTATCAAGCAGTTACAAATGGGAATAAAGATTAAAGATATCAAAAAAAACCTTACATTTCTTTTCTGTAAACTGATGAAGGAGACATGATTTCCCAACACCCATATCACCAATTATTATATATTTGAATATATAAGAGTAGTTGTATGGTCCGGACGCCATCTTTAAAATCTAAAAAATAAAATAAGATCATTCCCAATTGTAATTTCTTTCTTCAATCCTAGCTGAAGAAATATAGTAATTGAAGAAAAGGATATAGTTTTCTGGTGAATACCAATCAGCTTTTGTCAATTTCTTGGCCGAGCGCAGAGCTAGAGCAGTCTAAGATAGGCCAAGCGCTGCAGATAGGACAGACAAGGTAGCCGAGCGCCGCGGCTAGGGCTAGCTAGGGGCCGCAGCCAACTTTACAACTTTGACCATGCGCAACACATAAGGTCTATGTAAAAAGTGGATTTGATGGGGGNAGGAAATGACCCTTTATACATGACACCCATGAAGTTCTATATCCCTATTCAATTTTTGGTAACATTCAATTTCAAGCATTAAATTGAAAGTCAAAACTTACCTTTCTGAGTTTAATCTATAAATAATGAAAATTCTTCCTCAATGTCTAAACACACATCTTCCAGAAAACGAAACTTTCTGAAATTCAGTCTTTTGACAATTTAAAATAAAACATAAACAAAACAATTTATCCAGGCACACTAACTCTACAGATGGCGATAATAATATTTCTAAATATTGATAAAAGTTAATTGAAAGGATTATTTATTCCCAATGGAAATCAATTTGAAAAATAAACTTGACAGTGACAAATAATAACTGCAATTACGATACGCCTATGGCGCAGTGAACTGCTGTACAAAGAACGGGTTTTGACAAGTTTCAAAATTTCAATATTGTCCTAATCGGATATGTCGTCTTTTTAAGCGGCGGGGGGAATCCGTAGACTGAAATTTGTAGAATATATTTAAAATATATCGGCGCTATTTATTAAACAAATCCGGGGTAATTTCTGAGTAAAAGATTTTGGGATATGATTGATATCGCAAAAAGAATTTACAAGACCAATAATGTTGAAAAAAGATAGACTAAATTAAATCGGTTCGGTGCTATCTTCAGTGTTCATGAACTATTGTCCGTTGAACTTGATCTTTTTGTTTGAACTATAATTGGTCGTTTGAACTCTTTGAACTATCTCCACGTGCCGGGAGTCATGATATAATGTAACAGACAGGAAAATTCTGCACAATCTTCTATGAATTCTCATCTTTTGTGTGTAACCAAGTATATTATTTAACAGGTAGATCAGTTTTAATACAGATCTACCAGATCTAACCAGAAAACTTTGAAATACGAAGACAACAATGTAGGAATATTAAAGTGTATTTGATGTTGTTAGGACAGCAAATATTTAGTTTTACTAGTAACTTGTCAAATCATTTATTAAGTGAAATGGGCGCCCATGTTTACACTGAAAAAAATCTGTGTTCCTTGGACTATTTAAAATCATAACTTGAGTTTAAAAATTATCTTCTTATTCTGAAATTTTCTAGTTATCACTGTTCTTAGTAGCCAAAACTTGATATATAATTTAGCATAATTTAAAAATTTTAATTTAACATAATAAGAATCCCATAATTTGTTCGGATATTGATGGTTGAAGTTGTAGAATTGATGATTTTAGTGTCAGGTAAGTCATGAAAAATTCTCTAATAGGTTGAAACATTAAAGAGCATCTCTTGGCTTAAATAATGGGTCCTTTTGCTGATCTTAAATAACTTAAATAACTTTGCTTTTTATGGGTCCTTTTGCAGATCTAATGTTGTATGGAAGATTAAAGTTGAACTAATTATGTGTCTCTGCATTTTGAAGGATTGATAACATAAATAATTCATGTGTGATCACATGTGTTGTCTTGTCAATGAACTTTTTTAGACTGGCTGCCCAACAAATCCCCCCTGGTCCTGTCCCCCACATTAAAACCTTTTCTCAATAAAAGGAATTCCGACGGAGCTCCTCTTTTGGAGAATTCTCCTCAAACAGAGGGAACAAGGAGGATTCTCCACAAGAGGAGGAAATGAGGAGAACCATCCGTTTTTGGTGGAAGAAAGGAGTACTCCACTTGAGGAGTAACTGCGGTGCTCTCCTCAAAAGGAATTCCTCCAGAAATCCGTTTTTGGTTGACTCCACAAGAGGAGGAAATGAGGAGGATTCTCCTTTTTCGGTGGAAAAAAGGAGTCCTCCTCTTGAGGAGGACAAGAGGAAAGCAGAGTAGATTTTCTTGATGGGATTATATAACACAACATCTTAATTTACTTAACACATTTTATACCTAATCCACAATACTTTATTTTTATTTAAATAATATGTTTAAGTGTTAAATCCTTGAGAATAATTGATAACAAAGATGATTTTCTACTGTAAAAATGGTTGTCAGGAAGACAAATTGTTGTAATAGGCGCTCCAGAGGGGTAGTTGGTAGGAGGGGGGGGGGNCAGGAGGTTCTTAGGCCCATCAGGTGCTAGCTGTGCTAGCTCCAAAAGAGGAGTAGTAACGGAGCTCAAAAAGAGGAGTAGTAAAGGAGCTCCAAAAGAGGAATAGAAACGGTGCACCACAAATCACTTCGTTCGGTGCATCGAACGGAGTTCCGTTTTAGAACTCCGCGACATGATTAACGGTGCACCTTTTCTCCTCCGTTCTTTGTATTTTTTCTTGCTGGGAATTTTTACAGGAGAAAAGGTTGGGGTTGGTTCCAGAGTATGATTTGATTTCATGACTCGACATTTTACGGAGAAAGATTGTAGGGTTTATGGCCTACAAAGATTTTCGCATTTAATTTGCTCGCAAAAATGCGAAAATTTTCGTTTTTTCGCGAAATTTTGCTTCAATCTGTTTCACGAAAAAATGCGAAATAGAAAAAATAATGCGAAAATTTCGCGAAAAAATAATGCGATAATTTTGCGAAAAAATAAGTCGAAAATATCGCGAAATGATAATGCAAAAATTTCACAAAAAAAAAGAAAATCATGAAAAAAACGAAAATTTCGCGAAAAATACAAAATTTTTAAAAACAAATGCAAAATTTTAGCAAAAGGTAGCGAAAATTCATCAGAAAAGACTAAATTTTGCGAATACAAGACTCATTTTCAAAGAAGGATTTATCCGGCCGCGAGCCCAATAGATGGATTAACGCAAAATATGAATATAGATTTAAGAACGACAAGGATACATCAGACAATTCATAGATTTGCTTGAATAACTTTCTCGACCGATAAGATCATTTTTCTTAAAACGCAAAATAAAATCTACTACGGGAAGAACCAAAATAAAAATCAATTTCTCCAAATCAAACATTTATTAAAGTAAAAGAAGAGAAATTATTTATATGACAAAATAAAACTTCAAATATTGAGCTTTCAGATCAGAGAATTCCACAAGGTCTTTTCAGCAATTAATTTTTCACGGTTTTTGCAAAATTTTCGCGAAATTTTTTTTCGCGAAATTTCGTTTCGTTTTCGCTCCATTTATTTTCACGAAAAAATGCAAAATTTCGCGAAAAAGTTTGCGAAATGCACCCGAAAATTTTCGCATATTTTTTCACGAAACATTTCGTTAGCTGAAAACCCTTGTTTGATCCCAAACTATTACCATTGTTGAAACCAATCCACTTTCTGGTCGGTGGCAAGTAACCTTCATGTGAGGTTGAAATTTGCCAAGATTCACCAAAAAACTGCCAAATTAAAAACAAATGTCTGACCAAACTTGCCAAAGAAAGAAATGTTTGACCTGATTCTCAATCACTCTTGTGTACATTGTATAGTTATGAAATATATAGAAAAATTATCTTTTTCTTTCTATTATTATAGGAATCAATCTATTTAATTCTAAACTATCATAATAAATGAAGATCAATATTTTAGGATCTAGGACTTGGCTCTGAGAATCATTTTATCTGAGATATATTTCTTATCTGTTAATTATCACTTTGGAGACTCTTTCAATAGAGCCAAGAATTCATTATACAAAATAAAAAAGCAAGCTGGGAGGGGGGGGGATTCTAGCTAAAATTAAATTTAAAAAAAATGTAAATACGATGACTATCAGTAAATATATTTTTAATCATCAGAGAATAATTAAGTAAATGTTGTTCAGCTGAGAAAGTACAGTTAAAAGAATAATACTACTATACTACCACAGTATACATCCCTTAAAAATGTCCAAAGGAATTGAGTCTTTGTCACAAACTCTGATTTTCTAATTCCTGTATCTTTGCAGTCTAATGTTGTAGACATTTGACATTTCAAACTATGACTTCTGTTAGATCAAATAATATAATTTTGAAATATCAAAGGTTTAAGACATAGGGTTCAAAAGATATAGGGATTAAAAAATCCGAATTTGTGGCAAGGACTCAATTCCTTTGCCGCAAGTAAATTGTGATATTTAAACAGTTTTCAAGCTAGAAAAACGACGATACTTTCCAAGTTTTTTATCATAAATGGTACAATTGTGAATCGCTAATGCCACTATGTTATTTATGTGCGATTTTGTAAGAATCAAGGAAATGAAAATTTTTCCCTGTTGGATTTTTTAAAACAGACCAGAAATAAGGCTGAACCGGGGTTTCAGGAGAAAATGTCACAATTGTGTCACAAAACTTAAGTTTAAAAGCATACAAAATGTTTTCCACAACATCGATTTTTGAAGGGAAATCTTGTCAAAAAACGCAATCAATACATTTTTCAGATGTTTATGAAGAGAGATCTGCTCAATATAAATATTTTCTGTTTCTGTCCAATTTTTTAATCGATGCTGTGAAATATATTAATAACATTAATTTAGTTCAGTTTAGTTCTTCCAAAATTCAGAAGGGTGGTCCTTTTCTTGCTTCATTTCTTTCAATGTTTATCACAAGAGAGAATTAATTGACCTAAGACTAACGAAAGGCCTTTGATTTAACAGTCTTAGTCAGTATCTCTAGCATGCAGTTACAATTTACGATGTGCACAGCAGAATTCAGCCGATCCTGAAAAAACTCATTGTTGTTAAATGCCACCAGCCATTTAGAAAATTTCAAACAAAGGGCGTTGTTTACTTTTATAGCCATGAGAGCCAATAAACTTTCGAATTTGCCATTAAAAAGCGTCAAAGTAGTTTAAGCGCCAAATCAGTGCTTTAAGTTTCCTTTTTCAAATAGTTGTAATTATTGAAATTCGTTTTTAAAACTGACACATCAAATGTGTTTAACAAAAAGTAAATTACTTTCTCTGTCGTAAAAGATTATAATGTGTTTATTTTCTATACAACGAGTTCCAGACACACAGTGGTATAAATGGTATTTCTTTCCTTGTGTGAGCAGCCTCTATAATTAATATAAATTTGTGATATGTTAGGTCCCAGCTAATATTTCTGTCGAATCGGTCCAGCCGTGTCGCTGTGTTTATTGGAACCAAACCAACCAACAAACAAGAAAAATATTGATCTACTTAACACCATGTTTATGTCAGTAAAACATCTTTTAATTATTCTTCAACCCAATTCTATACCTGAACATTAAAATGTCAGAAAGGTAACTTTACGGAGAGATAGATAGATAGATATATGTATTACGATAGATAGATAGATAGATGGATAGATGGATAGTATAGATTACGGTGTAGTGTATACGAGTTATCCAACAGTCTCGAAGGTATTCTGATACACGATAGACCTTATTTTTATTCACCAAAATTGGTACTAATCAAAATAGAGTTCAGATTCAACAATGAAAAATATCTCGTTTTTTGTAAGTTTTACAATCAAAAAAGATCTAAATCGTAACTTTCAACAAAATCTGTCTTTCCTTTAAGGTTGATTATACTGTTTAAAAGTTAGAGGTTAAAAACTGAACAAACAAAACTTTTCAATGACAGTTTCTCAGAATGGTGACAATATGTAAAAGTATATATTTGCACCGCGGTGCAGAGGTGGGATTTAATGTAAAGGGAGAAGCAGTTTAACTGTGAATGGCTAGTTGAACTAATTCTATAATACAATTTCAGCTACAGTAAAAAGTAGTTTAGCTCTTCACTATTTATTAATTCCTAACATTAGACATAGCCTAAGCAAATCGTAGAGCCCCATTGGTAACCCAACGTCATATAATTTTTGTTGACTTAGGTCCATGTAAGTCAATAGAATCAATGAGAATAAAACATGTTTCAAATAGAAATTTGATTTCAACACAGATTTTGTGATCTGTTCAAGCCATTTGTGTGTATTTGTATTTTTTTCACGTCTATTTTCCTCAAACAACAATTTCCATTTTGTTTGGTGAAATTGATAAATTAAATTAATGTAATTAAGAACGACTCCATTAGAAAAATAATATCAATGTAAAAATGATCTTTAATCTAATCAAATAATCTTTGCAAAGTTGATTGTTGTCTTTTTTTAGCCTAAATGTGAAAAGTTTGTCTCTTCTTGTTCACGTTTTCTAACTTTGTTTCGTGCTAATGTCACATTGTGTAAACTATAAATCTTTTGTTACTTCATAGTAAGAATTACCTTGGCTTAAACTAATTCTTAAGAACACTTCATACAATAAAATAACAATTTTATTTTCATGAAAAAATCGTCATAATCATAATTATGAATTTTCTACAAAATTCACAAGTTCAACTATGGATTGACTATTGAGCAGTGCGGATTTCGAAGTGTTGCAGAGCTTTTGTTCTTAGGTTGACCTTTCCAAATGTTCTAATTTTTTTTGTCCTACGTGCAAAAGTTTGAGGAAGCAAAGCAATTGTTTATAGCTTTAGTTTAAAATGAATATTTGGTAAACAATAAATAAACTTAAAATTCGGTGATGGTGATGGACCAAACCGCTGTAGAGTAAAAAAATGTAGAAGTTAGTTCCACATTTATTGAAAAATATATTTCGGTCTGGATTGACCCTCGTCCCTTTTTGAGATTGTTTCTTCCAGGAAGATTTAAAACAAAACTTAAGAACTATAAACTTTTTTATTGTTAATCCCGGGATTAAGAAGTTTTCCGAAGCTTTTGTGCAATGGTCAAAAGGCTTACATACTGCATAAAATTTGAGGTATTAGCATTGATAACAAAAACAATTCTATGCAATGCGCTTTTAATCTTTAATTCAACTGCACTCCTATAGATCAGAGAATTATTTCTTTAAAATTTCTTTTAACTATATTTAGAATTTTTGCCAGGTGATGAGGTTTCTCTTTTGTTTCGTTATTCTATTCCCCTAAAGTGATCTCGAGTAAACAAAAACTAAATAGGCCGCAACGTGATAGGAATAAAAATAGATTACTATAAGGAATTAAGTCTTTGCCACAAACTCAAATTTCTAACCATTATATGTTTGTAATCTGATGGTGTAAACCTTTGATATTTCAAACAAAGATTATTTTATCTAAAAGAATTCATAGTTTAACGTATTTAAGGTCTACGACATTAGGATTAGAAATCCTTTTATACTGAACATTTCTAATTGCAATATCTTGAGAATAAAAATGAATTCTTGTATTTATAGAAATTCACTTGAAAATAAGGATACTGAACTGCCAATGGGATAAATCAGTTAAAATCAATTTTCAGAGATTGTTTGAAATGTCGAACTGTCTTCGATCAATTTCATGAGGTAGTTTAAACAACAGCAGATTTTATTCTAAAAGTGTGTGATACAATTTATTTTACTTTTGAACAATTGTAAAGCATTATATGTATTGTTACATTGATTCTGAGTTTTCTGTTATTTTGTATAATTTTCCCTTCCATCTTGTCAAATCTAAAACCTCCCCTTCCTTCCATACATTATTGATGAACCTTAATATTGAACAAAATGTCGGTTTTAAAATAAATCCATCTCTCGCAGGGATACTCTCAACAGGAAAGTTAGTTTTGAATTGTCAAGAACACACTATTAGAAGTATAACATATGTTAGATATCTCTAACATTAAGTTATTAACAATAAAATTAGGCTGAATAACGCAAACAAATTCATTTTTTGGGATGACAAAATTTGGCAATACAAGCGTATTTTTTTAAAATATAAAAAATTGTTTTTAATATGGCATAGTAAAAAACACATTTAAAAAATTAAAAGACGACCTTTCAAAACTCGTTTTCAAATGGAGTACCCCGTCTGCAAAGCATGCATAATCGTACGGTAGGGCGGGCCCTGTCGTTTCCATCTCCCTTATATTCCAAACTCCTTAATGTATACAGTACACTGATCAGTCAAAGTTGAATTGGGGATTTCCCTCTTTTAATGAAAGGTCACACTCACGTTACAGGCTTGAAATTACACTTCCTGTCCCTTAAATGTATTTTTGGTGCTTTGAATCAATTCTTCAAAAACAAACTTGGAAGCGGCAAACTTTAAGCAAACATTTTTTGATAAAAAATTTGAAAAAAATAAAAATTTGGAAATAATAATAATATAGAATTTTAAGTAATCAAGGAAAAATATTCGACGCCCCCTCCCCCGGTTTATACATAGATTCAGAGCCCCCAGCCTTACGGGGTTAAGTCAAAGAGGTGAGGGGGGGGTAAAGAAATGGGGTGGGGAATATTGCATGGATAAAAATGATTTAAGAAGACAGGGGAATATCCTGCATGAGCATGATAGATTAAATATATTAGATAACTTGAGGATATCATGAAACATTAAAAGAAATTTTAAAAATAATTTTCAGAAAAAAATGGAAGAAATAAACTGCTCAGCAAGCAGACTTGCAGACAAAGGTAACCAAAAGGAATTAAAAATGAAAATATGATTTTAAAACATTAAATTTTTAGCTACAGGAGAAGCGCCTGGCGTCTGTTCCTTTCTGATCACAGCCATCTCCATTTTTATGATTCTTCTAACCTTTCCCCTTTCCCTCATTTGCACCATCAAGGTGGTTCAGGTAAACAGACCAATTGACATATTTAGCTTAATTTTCTCACTCATTCCCAATTCTCCGGGTTCCATCTTAATAGAGCTGGAAATTTATGAATGAGAGAAGTTGTTGAAAAATAAACAGCACCTAGTTCATCTTCTTCTTCCCATTAGGTTCTTAAATCATAGCTCAACAACAATAACATGATCTTTGAAGAACACTTTGATTAGCTGCGTTCCAATTCTTTAATCCGTTTTGTTACGACATATGATGGACTCTCTCGATGTATGGCTCATTTAGGGTTTAACTGTATGTTATTTAAAAGTAAAAAGTTTTACTTAATTTTTATTTAGGAATATGAGCGGGCTGTTATTTTCCGGTTAGGTCGTCTTTTGAAGGGAGGAGCAAGGGGGCCTGGCATATTTTTTGTCATTCCTTGTGTGGATAGTTATACAAAGGAAGGGAAACAAAAGTTTGAAGAACAAACATATAAATAAATTAGTCTTTTTAGAATTTAAAAACTGTTTTTCATTAAAAAGTTCAGAGTTAATTTTGTTGATAAAAAGTTGTAATGCATAAATATTTTAATTATTTATTAAAAATGTTCTCCCTGAAATAAAGGTTGACATGCGAACCCTCACATTTGACGTTCCTCCCCAGGAGGTAATGATATTATTTTAATAAAAGGGATTATAGACGTAATTTCAAGGGATCCTCTTTCTAAAGAGTTGTATGAAATTGATCACCAAGGACCTTAACGAAGATAATTTTTAACATTGAGAATTAGGGTGTCTCTAAAGAAGGGACATGCAGATCTATACGGCATAAGGAAGGAATGAAATAGACACATATATCACGTTTTAAGATTTAATAATTACGATATCTTCAACATTTTTCCTCGATTAGTAGTGTAAGGACATGTAACTAATTAATTTTGCAGTGACGTTGACAGTCCCTTTAAGTAGTTTTTGTCGTTTCTTCCTTTTACTATCAATTGTAAAGCTAAGGATTTAAAATACTAAAATTTTGTTTTCCATGAGATAGAAATTTAAAAACAAAGACATACGTAATTTTTAAAAGTATCGTTTTTTGTTGTTCGCTTAAATATAAATTTTTACTGCCGATATAATTCGTCTTATAATTTCTATTCCGTTTTGTAAATTATGAATACATTTAAGTGTATTGAATTGGTTTACTGTCATAAAATGATTATAATAATAAAGATTAAGTAATGACTATTGACAAAATAATATACTTTTGTTGTGTATTTTGCAACTATTTTGAATGTAGTAAAAACGTATTGATTATAATGTGTAAACACTTATTGTTATTAAACAGTGTACTTACTAATATAAGTTAGTGTCTCGACGTAATTAAACGTAATTTTAAGTTACGCTCTCTGTTTATAATGTGAGATAGTGGCCGATTCACAACGGTTACCTTTAAACCTTTGATAATGAAGAATGAATAAGCTGATATTCTAGTTTTTTATTTAAAGAATATATATATGTATTCAATTGCGGTTGCTTTTTTACTTTGTAACTTGCGGCCGGAAGGGAAATGTCAGAATTCAACACTTTTCAATACCAAAAAATCATCATCCTTGTTAATCTGATAAAGGTTTAAAGGTACCGTTGTGAATCGGCCATGCCCCTTTCAATTAGAGGGTCACTTGAAATTATGTGTACAGTTCCTTTACGTTAAAACTAAGATTTTAAATGCTTTGTTGAATAAATTTTATTGTTTATGTTCTATTTTTCTCCTTCTTATTTAGATCTTGAATATGTGATTTTGAAATTATTCCAAAATTTGTGGTTAATAATTACACCTTTGCTAGTTTTTGGTGTATCGTAACGTTTATTCATAATCCATATTAAATTTCCCTACTATACTATATTGTTGTTTATTATGTAAAAACATCACCTTTCTGGATGATATGAATAATTTGTTGTTATGTTATTTACAAATTTAGTTTTATTCATTACAAAAGCGAGAACCACTTCCATTTCCATCGAGTTTAAAATAAAACTTATCTGTTTTTTATAGACTTGCTTTTTGAATAAATGAATAATTTTTTTTTAAACTTTAAGATGTTTCTAAAAAAAAGGTTATCTTTATTTACCAAAGGTGGTCTGGCAAAACCTGTATTTTTATTTGTTGGTCCTTAAACCATTGACAATTAAGCACAAATAATCTTTAAAACGACAATATATTTAGTAAATGGAATACGTAAAAATTAAAATATTCTACGATAAATTCTCGAGAACCATTCAAAATTTTGTACTTCTAACTAAAGGGATCATATTCATAGAATAATTTGGTTTAAGTGTTACAATTCTCATCAGAACCAGTAAAAAAACTTTGCAAAAATAATTTTTAGCAGAGATGAGATTTTAAAAGCTTAAACCCGAGTAAAACCTGGTATTTGCGTCTGCTTAGACCCAAGTAAAGCTCAAGTCAAGACCCGGGTTTTGGATGGCCTTGAGTTTAGAAAGAACCTACCAACTTGTTTTCTCTCTTTAAGGCTCCAGTCTTCAGCAGCTGATGATCGTAAATTTCGTAAAATCTTTTATATTTGTACATTTAAAATCTCAGAAATTATTTGTGGTATCAAATTTATTAATTATAGGAAATAAACATACTATGAAAATAATACACACCTACATAAAGTTTGAATTTTCGAAATTTACATCTCCTTGTCACAGCTGATCTGACGGCATTGGTGGAATCAGAACCAATCCTGACTTGGGTTCTATCTAAGCCCGAGTTTGGGTTTTAGTCGGGTTTTAAGCTTTTAAAATCTCATCTCAGATAACAATAAAGTTCAATGCATTCATGGTTCTACAATATCCTCAAGGATATAGAATACGAAAAAACTGCCCAGGGGAACAAGAAATGGCAAGGAAAATGCGAATTACAGGAACAGAAGAGATCATTTAAAGTAAGAATGTATCATGGAATGTTTGGGTTTCCTCCCCATTTCCTATTTATTTAAATTTTTTTACAGATTGTCTTTTTTTAGCTTTTTTGTAGTCTGTAGAAAGTGAAAAGACAGTTTTTTTCGGCGATCACTCCATTTTATTTTATTTTGTTCAGATTCTGACCAAGGACTCTGTAACTGTACATGTTGATGCCATCATGTACTACAAGGTAAGTTTACTGCAATTACATGTGTGCACAGCCAGACATATGTACCAAATGATTTATGCAATTTATCTCTAGACATTTTTATTAACTATTCTATAGTATTATTATACAAGCAGAAAGTTTGACCAATTTAAGTGATTTTCGTGAACAACAAATGTTGTAATATATGCTAATTTTACTGAGAGGGATTGTAAGTTTAATTTAAGTGGACCCTTTATGCAAAGATGGCAATGCTGAATCACAACGGTGCCATTACAACCTTATCTGATCAATAACATGAAAGATATTATAGTTTTTCTAGGTTTAAAAATGTGCTATTTGAAATATGTACTGCATATGTTATTTTCTCTTCTATAAACTATTCCTTAAGTTTAATTGTGCAATACTTTTTTATCGAATACATACTTGAAGTGATCTGTCTTAATTAACATATTTGCCGAGTGCACATCGTATCTTATTTAAAGAGAGGATCGATGGAAGACGACCTTTTGGCTATCCCTATTTTCTGGCGAAAAGATTTAAAAGAGTGGGAAAAAGACACGAACATACTAATAGGCTTTTCGTATTAAACGTAAGATCTAATCGATTTTTACTTCGTTTAATTACTTTATAAACTAAAACAGTTGCTTCATTAAAAAAGCCAGTTAAAAATAGTATTTTTTTTTAAAGGTTAGCAATGCAACCTCTTGTATTGCTAATGTAGACGATTATGGAAAATCTACCCGACTTCTTGCTGCAACTACTCTGAGGTTGGTTCCACTGAAACCCATAAAACTATGGAATAGAAAGACGATAGCTAAGCAATTATATGCGTATTTTATCAGTAGCTTGAACTGCAGTAGCAGACAGTTTTACCAGTAGCTTGAACTGCAGTAGCAGACAATCTTACCAGTAGCTTGAACTGCAGTAGCAGACTGTTTTACCAGTAGCTTGAACTGCAGTAGCGGACAGTTTCACCAGTAGCTTGAACTGCAGTAGCGGACAGTTTTACCAGTAGCTTGAACTGCAGTAGCAGACAGTTTTACCAGTAGCTTGAACTGCAGTAGCAGACAGTTTTACCAGTAACTTGAACTGCAGTAGTGGACAGTTTTACCAGTATCTTGAACTGCAGTAGCAGACAGTTTTACCAGTAGCTTGAACTGCTGCAGTAGCAGGCAGTTTTACCAGTAGCTTGAACTGCTGCAGTAGCAGACAGTTTTACCAGTAGCTTGAACTGCTGTAGTAGCAGACAGTTTTACCAGTAGCTTGAACTTCAGTAGCAGACAGTTTTACCAGTAGCTTGAACTGCTGCAGTAGCAGACAGTTTTACCAATAGCTTGAACTGTTGCAATAGCAGACAGTTTTACCAGTAGCTTGAACTGCAGTAGCAGACAGTTTTACCAGTAGCTTGATTCTTTGTTCAGAAATGTGCTGGGGACTAAAAATCTTGGTGATATTTTGTCAGATAGAGAGAGTATTGCACATGACATGCAGGTTACGTATGATTTCACGTTAAATTGAAATCTTTCAAGTTTTCTAACATAAAAAACTCTTCGCTCATATATGCATATATTTATTTGTTAGCTATAGCTGGCCAAACAGCTGGACCAAATGGGCTAAATTTTGTTTAGGGAACCCATCACGGGTATCCTGGGGTTAATTAAGGCAAAATAAATTCGATTTTTTCTATTTCCCTGGCAACGCGTGCACTTTAGCTAATCTAACATAAATCCTCTTATTGAAAACTATTGAAAGAACAAAAATGTTTAAGTTTTCAAATATGAAGGTCTATCATATCATGTCGTATAATTTGACCTTCTGTCTAGAGGAGTGTAAGGTCATCTTATTTTAGACATTGGCTTGATTTTATTAAAAATATTTTCATTTCTCCAGATAGAATTGAAGTGCTGTAAACATTTTCAAACCCATTTTGTCTGCATTTATGGGAAAATAAAGTTTATTCATTTTTTACTCAAACATTGGTCTTTTTATTCTATTTGATCCTAAACTATAGAAATAAATTCTATTTGATCCTAAACTATAGAAATAAATTCTATTTGATCCTAAACTATAGAAATAAATTCTACTTGATCCTAAACTATAGAAATAAATTAAATTTGATCCTAAACTATAGAAATAAATTCTATTTGATCCTAAACTATTGAAAAAAAATCTATTTGATCCTAAACTATAGAAAAAAATTCTATTTGATCCTAAACTATAGAAAAAGTTCTATTTGATCCTAAACTATAGAAATAAATTCCATTTGATCTTAAACTATAGAAATAAATTCTATATTTGATCCTAAACTATAAAAGAAAAAATTTCTATTTGATCCTAAACTAGAAATAAATTCCAAACTTGAATTTTGAATTTCTTAACTTTGCAGGGTTGTCTGTTTGTTTTGTTAAAGGAACTACCTTGTAATTCAAATAAACTCAAATCTTTGAATCTTTCCTTTTCCTGACTTGAAAAGTATTTAGTTTTAACCATTTTCTCCCTTGTTTCTAAAGCAGAAATTGTTGAAAAGTTTTTTTAAAAATTCCTTAGAAAACTCTGTGTGACTCAGATAACAAGAATTTTTAAATACAAGAACGAATAATTTATATGTTGAAGGATTCGATGAATACGCAATAACTGAATTGATAAATATGTTATGTAATGAGTAATGATCAATGTCGTCTTTTTGTGTATAATTTTGCATATTTTTCTCTTTTCTTTTGGAAACCTGTATTTTCAAAAATTTATTTAAACAAATTTAAACACCTAAACTATAGAAATAAATTCTATTTGATCCTAAACTATAGAAATAAATTCTATTTGATCCTAAACTATAGAAATAAATTCTATTTGATCCTAAGCTATAGAAATAAATTCCATTTGATCTTAAACTATTGAAACAAATTCTATTTGATCCTAAACTATAAAAGAAAAAATTTCTATTTGATCCTAAACTATAAAATTAAATTTCAAACTTGAATTTTGAATTTCTTAACTTTGCAGGGTTCTCTGTTTGTTTTTTCCTTGTAATTTCAAATCTTTCGTTTTCCTGACTTGAAAAGTATTTAGTTTTATCAATTTTCTCCCTTGTTTCTAAAGCAGAAATGCGCAAGTAACTTTTAAAGAGCAATCACAATCAAAGAAAAAAAGTAATTTTTCGAACACATGGAACTGGTTTTTTTGGATAGTGGTTTATTGTTGAAAAGTTTTTAAAGAATTCCTTAGAAAACTCTGTGTGACTCAGATAACAAGAACTTTTAATTTATATGTTGAAGGATTCGATGATTACGCAATAACTGAAATGATTAATATGCTATGTAATGAGTAATGATCAATGTCGTCTAATTGTGCATAATTTTGCATATTTTTCTCTTTTCTTTTGGAAACCTGTATTTTCAAAAATTTATTTAAACAAATTTAAACTACACCATTTATATATGCATTTATATCTCTGTGTGTGAATAAATTTTGTTAGCCAAAATTCTTCTTAATTTTTTCCATTATTTGTTTATAAATGTTTTTAAATTAAGGTATCTCTTGATGAAGCCACAGATCCTTGGGGAGTACAAGTAGAACGAGTTGAAGTGTAAGATTTAACAACCATTAAAAATAAACATCTTAGAATCTGATGACCTAAAGCATTTTGAAATTACGAAAATTTTGTTAGAATATGGGACATTTTAACATTTAAGATAATACTCTGAACAATTTTCAAAGGAATTGAGTCTTTGTGAAAAACTCTGATTTTCTAATACAAATGTCTATGCAATACAATGTCGTAGACCTTAGATATTTCAAATTCTGTTACATTAAATAATCTAAACTAAAAATATCAAAGATTGCAAAGAAATAGTGATTGGAAAATTTGAGTTTGTGACAAAGACTCAACTCCTTTGTTAAATAATAGATGTCTCTAAAATTATGTTCTCAAACTCAAAAACTTCGAAATTCTTTTGATTTTTTGATAGTTCTAAGGAAACAGAAACATACATGTATATATTAATATTCTCCAGTAAAGATGTGCGGCTACCCCAGAATCTTCAGAGGGCTATGGCAGCAGAAGCTGAGGCGGCCAGGGAAGCTAGAGCTAAGGTATGCATTTAAAAAGTTGAGTAGGTTGACTTGTATATAAGTTTCCAAGCAAATCTGGGTTAGTATTGCGGTAAAACTACTGAATCAGAATTTGTCGCTGAAACTGCAAAGGAATCTAGAATTTTGAAAGATTTTCCTGAAGCAGCTTGGGAAACTAAATAAGAAGCTGCAGTCAAAATTTATGACTATAATTTCTAAAAAGCAAATTTTTAAAAATTCACAAAGAGCGATAAAAAACTTATAAGAAGAAAGTGGGGACTAAACACAGATAACTTTTTCAAAACTTTCAAAGTTTTTTCGTTGACTTTTACATGGTCTTTACTAGTTACAAGGTGCCTAAAACATCTGAGAGATTTTACAAATTTGTTATCCTAAACATTGGCTTTTCTTACACTTAATCGAATCTCAACCCTGAGAGAAGATGTATGTAAGAAAGCAACAAAGAATTATCGTTTTTTCTTATATTACTCTTAGAATAAGAAGTTTGCATATCAACAACAGAATACAGTTTTGAAATGTTAGAACCTTCAGAGAGTCCAAAACCTTAACGGATTTAAAAAATGAACCGAGTTATTGTTCATCTGCAGTATTGAAAACATAAGGAACAATTTGTAAAGATACTGTTACAATTTAGATCAAATTTAACAATTTTAGTAAAGGAAAACGTTTAATTAAGTATGTGACCATCATATTTCAAATTATTCAAAGATCTAGAATACCAAATTTTTAAGAACTCCTCCCCTCGTGTTTTGAAAAAAATGAATAATGAAAAGGCAAGCGTTTTACCCTTTTTGATGCTTTCCCCTGGGGGAAATAGTTTTAAAGAAAATATATACCCCTGGCAGAAAGATTAAAGAAACTGAACTCAATCTTCACATTTTATCTTCAAAGAGTTTCAACATCTTATTGCAGCTAAACTTGAAATATTTTAGATATAATGAACATTTTTAAACTTGAAATATTTTAGATATAATGAACATTTTTCAAACTATTCAATTTACAAGCTGCACTCTTAAAAGTCATAATCATATAAATCAAACTTTTAAATTTTTGAGGAGCAGTGTTAAAATCCAAAGGACTCATAAAATTAAAACTCTTAAATATCTGATGTGTACATTTAAAAATCCAAAGGACTCATGAAATTAAAACTCTTAAATATCTGATGTACAGTTAAAAATCCAAAGGACTCATAAAATTAAAACTCTTAAATATCTGATGTGCAGTTAAAAATCCAAAGGACTCATAAAATTAAAACTCTTAAATATCTGATGTACAGTTAAAAATCCAAAAAACTCATAAAATTAAAACTCTTAAATATCTGATGTACAGTTAAAAATCCAAAGGACTCATGAAATTAAAACTCTTAAATATCTGATGTACTTTAAAAATCCAAAGGACTCATAAAATCAAAACTCTTAAATATCTGATGTGTACAGTTAAAAATCCAAAGGACTCATAAAATTAAAACTCTTAAATATATGATGTGTACAAAGGACTCATAAAATTAAAACTCTTAAATATCTGATGTACAGTTAAAAATCCAAAGGACTCATGAAATTAAAACTCTTAAATATCTGATGTACTTTAAAAATCCAAAGGACTCATAAAATTAAAACTCTTAAATATCTGATGTGTACAGTTAAAAATCCAAAGGACTCATGAAATTAAAACTCTTATTTATCTGATGTACAGTTAAAAATCCAAAGGACTCATAAAATTAAAACTCTTAAATATCTGATGTACAGTTAAAAATCCAAAGAACTCATACAAGTCAAAACTCTTCCAATTTCTAGGCGCAGGCTTAAAATCTGAAGGACTCAACTTAAATTAACTATAAGATTAAAGAGAGCAAAAAGTCAATTACTTCAAGATAAATTTACTCAAAAATTGCTCAATGGAGGAGGTGATATATTCAAAGAAATTAAGAAATTCCGGGGACAAAATACAACAATTTCAAATTGTATAGATGGAGAAGTTGGGGCCCAGAATATTGCAAATCACTTTCAAGAAATCTATGAAAATCTGTACTCCCAGCATACTCTAGGAGAAGATTTTGATAAAGTGCNTTTGTTAAAAATGTACACTCAAATACATTTTATTTCTTAAATTCTTAATAATGTATTAAAACTAAAGACACTATAAACCCTTGCCATTAATCACCTTAAAAAATTCAAACTATAAATTCGGTCAAAGTTTAAAATTTCAACAATTTACCTTTTCAGGTTGCAAAGATATACATAATTCCTTTCCTTTTTATATTTTATTGTAATATCTATAAAATATTGCATTCATCAAGTTCAGTGTTACTGAAAATCGCCAATAAATATTATTAAGTAGCGCACATCATAACGGTAACTAAACTTAAAAGTTTAATATTTAAGAAATATCAAAATATGAAATCTATAAATTAAAGGTGATTGCGGCTGAAGGAGAACACAAAGCCAGCCGAGCCCTCAGACATGCAGCTGATGTTATTAATGAAAGTCCTGCGGCAATGCAGGTAAGATATTTAAAAAATGTTCTCTTTAAACGTAATACTTGATTACAGGAACTATAAAACAACTAATTTTTGGAAAAAGTGGCATGTTTGATTTACAATGGAAACATGAAAAGTTTAGACTGATCATGAATGCGCGCGCGCATGAGATATCTCTTTCCGTAGGAATTACTTCACTCGTTTGAGATTGTTGGGAAACTGAGTAGTTTTAAAGACTACACTCGTTTGAGATTATTCAATTGTTGCATAAGATATCAATTATCTTCTCTTAGAAATCAATTATGGTTACCTATAAATCAAAATGCACAATTTTTGCTTAAGATTTTTCATAATAAACGTTAACGACGATATCTTCCACATTTTTGGTCAAATAGATATTTAAAGGGCATCGTTGTGAGTCGAGCTTGCCCGTTTTTTTTAAATGGAAGATCACTTGAAATTACAAGGACAGTATCTTTAATAAATCTGAGAAAATGTTAAATTTTCTTTTTAGTTGAGATACCTGCAAACTCTCAACAATATTTCGGCAGAAAAGAATTCGACGATAATTTTCCCAGTTCCTGTGGATATCATCTCTCTAATTCTTAACAGAAAAGGTATTTTTTATACAGTGAAACCTTAATAACGAATACATCGAAAGAATTAATCAAATGTCGCATTCTTCACTTTCTGATAATGGAATGTTGCAGAATTTTTTTTTAAAAATTAAATGATTATATACAACTCTTTAAAACCGTTCCCGCATATTCATGGCTATTTATTTACGTAATAAGTATAAAACTCATAGAAAAATTGTCAAGACGACATTTAATAAATTCTTCCGATGTATTCATTATTAAGGGTTTCACTGTATTATATGTCCACTCATTATGCTTCAATACATACGATGAAATAAAATATTTGATTGAGAGCAACTGAAAACTATTGTTGCAATCCGTTCCATTTATCGCAAAAAACAATCACCAGACTTTCATTTTATTGCTTTCATTTTTTAACTAGATTGCCCACAATAAAAATTGGTTCAGTGTTAAAAATTATTTAAAGCTTTTTTGGAAAAAATGTTTTCTTGAATTATTGATTTTATTGAAAAACGTTGGGAACCATAAGTGCAAGAAAGTTTAGAATAAATCTAAAATATGAACACACATATAGTTTTGAAAATAATATTGTTTCCGTTGACATCCATTCCATTCTATGTGAAATCTAGTTCATTGTTTAGGAAATCTGTAAACAGAGAACTTCATAATATATATTTTTTTAGAATCTGTGGTGCCCCCTACTCCAGTTGCTATTACTCCACATTGATAATCATCACGTTTTATGTTTTAACGAAAATCTAAGAGTTTTAAATCTAAGAAACATCAATTATGATACATTTTGTTTGGCAGATATTAAATGTTGAATGATGATAAAAAATAATGTTTTTATTCACGATCAAGTTTACTAAATGTGAGAATCAAGTTATTTTGCATTTGCATTGTACATTTTCAAGCTGTTGGTAAAACTATTTGCATCAAACATCATATTCACATCAGATTGCTTAAATGTCGTCATATATCTTAACCCTTATCACGATTCTTCTTCACTTATTCAATTTCATAATTTTGCATTTTTTTTATGCTTAAGGTAAGGAGGAGGATAGTCAAACGGCGAGTCGGTGTTAATTTTTTTTATTAATTAAGCTACAAAAAAGCCCTTAAAAACTTGATGTGTCACATATTAATAGTTGTCAAAAGTAAAAATATTTATTCTTGAACATTTTTCCGACGAACTTTTAAACTTTTTTAAAATCCTCGCTTGCACCCTAACCATTAAAGCAAGAGGTCTAATTTCTTTTGGTGAGCAGATCTTGAAAAGTTATACCAGGGACATGCATCACACTCCCCTATCTCAACTCTATGGGTACAATAATATTAGTCAAAAGAAGCCCAATCGGGATAGGGTTGAAACATAAGAAATAACCGTATCACAGGGTCCGTCCAAAAATAGTTATTGCAAAATTAGCAAAAAATTATCCAGCAACAGTTTGCATTTATCGTAATGTGTTTGCATATCATTTTAGTAAATATTTATGTCTCATGAAACGAATGCATTTTTTGTAATGTTGTAATTGTAAATAAACATTGGCAAGACATTTATCGTATATAAAATATACTTAGATATATGATGCTCGCAAAAATATAGAATATTTCAGATGAAAACGACCGACTTATATACAGTCAACCTTTTCCCACGATTTGATAAATCACAAAGAATGGTTTAACAACAAATAATGTACATGTGGTTTTTAACCTGAAACAACTAAAATATTTAAAATCAATATTTGTGAACTTTTAAAATTTTGTAAATGTATTTGATATTGTTAAAACTAAAATATTCCTCACAAAATCAATTTATGTCTTATTTGACAATTTGCAAAATTACAGAGTAGACAGCTTTGAAGACTATAAAATAATATGTAAACAAAAAAAAAAAAATATACCGGGATTTTCAGTTTAATTATGAACGACCCATTATGAAAATAGTAAATGGAACGATTAAAAACATTTTTACTAATCTATTTTGAAATTGCAAAGAAACTCGCAGTAAACAATAATATTTCTACTCATAATAGTAATATCTTTGAAACCTTGACAAATCACACATACCAATTAAGTTTCTAATGATTTTAGGGATCCATTCTAATTGTTTATTTAATTTTTAAATAAACGGTGATTTCAGATAAAGTTTGCAAGCAAATATTTGAATCATTGTCAAAAAAATTCTTTGCGTTTTCTTCTTTCTCTCTAACCCCCCCCCCCACCTCCATGCTAAAATGTTAAATGCTTTAACGAGATTATAATGTTTTGATTTGAAAATATCAGGTTTAATATCATGCACAATAAAATTTTTTTAAATTATAAAATGTTATAGAATTACAATTGACGAGACAAAGCGACAATTCTTCTAAGAAATATGTAGTTTAATCTTTGTGAATCCGCTAGAATGCAATTATGAAAGGGCAAAAACTTCAAAATATGCCTTGTTGCTATTCCTAGCGGTTTCTACACGTTCGGTTTCTACTATGTTTGACTTTAAAAAAAATTCTAATTTTTCTCCGTCCTTTAAAAAGGAATGTACAGGGTGTCCCAAAAAAACGATCTTTAAGAGCAAAATGGCAAACTTCAAACGGTCAATACTTCCTTTATTTTAGTGCTATGAACCTCTTATTGGTTTCAATCGATCGGAAATGTTACAAAGATTTCAAAAATGTAAAAATTTTCAAAAATTGAACCATAGTGAGTGCTACAATGTCTTAAAGATCGTTTTTTTGGGACACACTGTATGTACACTAAAAAAAGGTTAAAAAATAGGAAAATATTTAAATAAATGATGGTTGCATGGTATTCCTAATCAAATAATACCAAACAATTATTAATTATTGTTAAACAAACTATACTGTTAACGAAAATCCCATAAATCTGGGAAACTGCAATGGAGAATCTAGGAAACTATGTCAAATCTTTCGGGATGTTTGTGTAGAGTCTAAACCTGGTTTGGGTGTACAGAGGCCGGTTCAGGTAAACTCTAACTCTATAGATTTAGATTTAGTTGCTCTGAGGCCTTTAACTTTGATACAACCCGGGAAAAGGGGTTATGATAAAATATCGATTTGGTTTTACTCAGCAAACATTTTTTCTACGTATGTACATAGCTAGACCTACGAACTGTTTTTTTTTTGCCTTAAACTTTGATTTTTTATGTCTTATGTCGTTACAGACCATGAATTTTGTTAGGTTTAATCGTCCAAGCTTGAAAAATCATCAGGTTGAAAAGACCCAGGGATTAGAAAAGTTGAGTATGTGGCAAAAACTTAGTTTCTTCTATATATAAATTTGTCTTGTCTGTCTGTTTGTTTGTCTGTCTGGGTGTCTGCTTGTTTGTATCCAATAAACGTCAAAACGGCAGAACCGATCGGGCCCAAATTTTTGTGGGACATCACGTGACCACAGGGAAGGTTTATGAATGATGATGTGTTTTAAAGGTTTTTAATTTTGTAAAAAAAATTTTAATTCTTGAAAATCCGCAAAATTTTTTTCTTCTTTGTTTTGAAATGTAAACAAAAAGAACATGTTCACAATTTAAATAGAAGATGGGCGCGAAGCGCCCTAAAAGCCTAGAAAGAAGGGCGCGAAGCGCCTTAATGTCTAGTAATATAAAAATGAAAGGAAGATATTTCTATTTGTCAATATTTTCAAAATTTGCGAAAATCTTTTTTTTCTAGTGGGTAAATCTGTTAATTCTAGTTAGCCATTGGGGTCATGACTTATGATTGGCCCGGCAAAAAATTTGGTCTTCATGGATAAATTGAAATTAAAATTGAGGATATTCTAAACAATATTGATTTTTTTTTACAAATAGATTGCTGATTCATTTGCGGAATTGCAAAAAGAAAATTGCAGTCTTTTTGCAAAATCTGCTGAATATGTGCATAAATATATATCAATACATTTTCTGAAATGAAATAAAAGGTCGTAAATTTAACAAAATTAAATACTGTCACAAATTTCGTTGAAATAATTGGATTAAAAGTTATGTTCAGCCTGTTTTGGAAATTTTCTTTTTTCTTTTTTATTTTTAATGCAAAAATAACATTTTATCTGAAATATCTTAGAGAAAGTAAACCAACAAATAAGTAGTTTCAATTTGTTATTTTTGAACTTGCACTCCTTGCACCAGTGTCACTAGAATAGAGTTACATTTTCTTATTTACATTTAACACTTTTTAATCTAGATAATAAAGCTCTTCGCTCATATATGTTAAATATCATGTTAGATACAACACATATTAAAAAAAAGGTTTAAACCATAATGAACGGAAAGATTGCTAAATTGCTATCTAATTATTAATCTTTAAAATAGAAAATATTAATTATATGATCAAAGCCGTTTTTTCTTTTTTTTCGGAGATTTGACCCAAGAACCGGAGATTGATACATCTCTAAAGATATCAAATGTCAAAATATAAGATTGTAATCAAAGAAATAGAGTTCATACAGACTTTCACAAAAAAGTTTACAGTGATTGAATTCGATTAGGTAAATATTCAGACTTTTTTGCACGATAATTTTTCATATCAACACTGAAGATATCAAAACGAATAAATTCAATTATAAAAGCCTGATACCAAAATAGAAAAGTGTATTATTGGTGAAAAATTGACAATCTTGCGGTCTTACCTTTTCTTACGATTTTCTGATATCGTGGAAGTTTGTTTAATTTTCTTGAATTTTGTATATTTTCATTCTGGTAGTTCCCACCCTACCTTAGTAATTTATGATATTAATTATACCAACCCCTGGGTGGAAAGAAAATTAAGGCCTTTAATTAAATTTCCAATAAAATAAGAAACTTTGAGAAAGTGTAGAATAAATAAAATATTCGTTAGCTCTAATCTGAAAAATGAAAAGGTCAAATTACTGGCTCGACTCTGTGACCTCGCAGCTCCTATTTTGATTTGCTCTCCAAAGTGTAAAAAAGATTCTTTTTTTTCTTAAATATGGAAAATTTCAAACTTTTTAATACTGTAGAAAGAAAATGAAAATGCCACAAAATAAAATCCCTCTTTCCAATGTGATGGTAGATAATGTGATATTTCAAACTTAGATTAGTTGATCTTGAAGGATTCATAGTTTGAACTATCTAAGGTCTATAACATTGGATTGCAAAGATATAGGGATTTAAAAATGTTGGTTAGAGGCAAAAACTCAGTTCACTCAAAGAAATGAGGTTAATTTCCATATTTATTCAAAATCATATGTTTCGTTAAAGGGACTGTCGACGTAATTTTAACCCTCTATTTCACAATGAAACCATTCGACACTTTGTCTGAAAACTGTTAAACTCTAAAAATTAAATTTATCTTTTCTCATTTTCCAAACATCGAAACACTTGATGCACTGTGAATTCCGGTTAAATTCAATCCCCGGCCGACCTTTAAGCAGATAGAGCAAGTTGTACGGTACAGCATATATATAGCTAGCAAAAATGGACAGTAAACAAAATGAATCAGTCCCTTTTAGAGAGGTTATTGTTAATGAAAGAGTAGAAAACAAGTTTGATTCCCTAAAACCCATCCATACTTGCATCTATTCAAAAGTTTTCAGCTCTGATGACAAATGAACAGAATGGAGTTGTCAAATATGCCATGGAAGTAGATTAAACCCTCAAACTAGTTCGCATATATCTATCTTTTAAACTTTTATTGAACAAAACTAGAGTAAAAATCTATATATGAAATGTAAATACTCATTTACAAAATGCTTCTTGCATTATATTCTTTAAAACACGTTAAATTTAGATTTGACTAGTAGCATTTGACAATTCTGAAGTGGGATCTGAAAGAAAGAAAATAGGAAAGTAGGACTTCTCGTCTAAAGTAGATAAAGACTTCTCGTCTATTAAGAAAAGAAGAATCGAATGACTTCTCTTCTTTTAGGCACTTGACTAGGAAGCTGGCTTGAGAATGAATATAAAGTTTATCTAATGAACCTTGGTGGTAAGCATAGCTGGGAGGATATTAGGTAGCAATTTGAAGATATTACATATTACATATTACATACTCTGATATGCACTGTTGTTGTCAAAGCAGATGATTCTCACAGTTTTATTAAAATCATAGATTTCTTCTGAGTATGCAGGATCGAGAAGGGTTTTATATCCGGGGGGTGGGGGGGGGGGAGGAATATTGGTATCTGTTAGGTTCACTAGATAGTAGTTCTATTTTTAACTTATTTTTGAACCAAGGAAGAAATGTATTGATAATTGGAATAAATTTCCTGCATCTTGTCATCCATATGTAATTTTTGACATATTGAGAGAACAAGTTAACTGGGTCCAACATGTTTTTAAATGGAGTTCCAAAGATAAATTCTTTCTTGCTTGGAATTACCGAAATTTCGTCCCATTTGGTTATAAAAAGATCGTAAACATTATTTAGGAAATCGCATATCTAACATGAAAATATAATTTTCAGCTAAAATTAATGACGATATTTTACCCTTGAACCCTAATATGTTACACTAGCCTTAGAGGGCGCTTCGCGCCCATCTTCTAAATTAATTGTTAACATGTTCTCTTTGTATACATCGTAAAACAAAACAAAAATAATTCGCGGATTTTCACAAAAAATTTCGTGGATTTTCAAAATTTTCAAAAATTTAATGAAGATCGAATTTTGATGGAGACAAATATTTGAAATTTTTATCATTAATAAACCTTCCCTGAGGTCCCACAAAAATTTTGGGCCCGATCGGTTCAGCCGTTTTGACGTTTATTGGATACAAACAAACAGACAGACAAGCCAAATTTATATATAGATATGGTCACGATGGAAAATAAAATTCTAAACCAAATTGAATGAAATGTTAGTTAAATCTAAATACCCAAATTAAATCTGAATAAATTCCAAATTAGAAAGGATAAAACTTGTTATTTCTAGATTAAATAGACAAATAGAAGTACACACGCCATACAGAGTTACCCAAATATTCTTTAATTTTTCTCACCAAATTCTGAAAACAATGTGTAAAAGACGCGTTTAATAAACCTTTCTTTTTCCAAGCAGATTATAAAAATGCCAAACCCACAAAAAGCTTAAATGCCAAGCAATACTTAAATCCTAGAAATTTTTGATGAGATTTTCTCAAGAATTTCCTCTTTCTAGAATCCTTTCACAATCATAGTTTTAAAGTTTTAAGAGGTTCAGATGCGATTAACTTCTAAATTTATTTATGAAAACAATTGAAAAATTTGACAACTAGAATTTGCACGTCTTTGTTTCAAATCTTAAGTTTGAACGGTATAGCGAATTGCGGTTCACCGACAAAGGGTCAAACGACACAGGGTCAAAAGACACACGGTCAAACGACAAAGGGTCAAACGACAAAGGGTCAAAAGCGCGACAAAGGGTAAAACGACAAAGAGTAAAACGACATAGGGTCAAAAAATGCGACAAAGGGGCAAATTTTTCTAAATTTTGACATCTGTTTCAGTTAGTATTTATTTATTATTATTTAGGGTTATGTTAGGTTAAGACACTTTCTGGGCCGAGCGCTGCGGCTAGGACAGGCTAGGGGGCCGAGTGCTGCGGCCACATGGTCAATTATATCCATGTCTAACATATAAGATCCATGTACAAAATTGATAGGAGGGTTGCGAGTTTCCTATGATTCAAATCAAAAAATATTTTTATCATTTTGACCTTTTGTCGTTTGACCCTTTGTCGTTTGACCCTTTGTCGCTTGACCCTTTGTCGTTTGACCCTGTGTCGTTTGACCTTTTTTCGGTGAATCCGAATTGCTTATGCACTTATTTGCTGAAGGGTTACTTTTAAAAGTTAAAATTAATTCACGTTTAAGGACCATTCAACAAAATATTTTCATATATTTTTTATTTATTGATTTGAAAAATCAAAATAAACTTCATCAAACTTTTAAACTCAAAGATTTAGCTTTTTTCTTAAATAAAACAACGTTTTAACATTAATTGTTGTTTTCATTACTTCTGAACGAAAATAATCAACGACTTATAAAGATATTGAAATGAGAGTTAATAAAACTTTCGTAGATTTGATCAACTATTAAGCTTGTTTATAATATATAAAAATGTGTCTAGTTCAATACACTGTTAAATAATGTGTTAAGTTGGTTGGTCACAAGATATATGCACATAATTTGCCATGTAAATGGAAGGATAGGGGGACCCCTAGCTTCGTGGGGATACCTGGCTAATTATCTTTTTATTTGGCAGATATAAACAATAAATCTGGACGTTAGTAAAGAGATTATACTATTAAGGTAATATATTGATGAACTATATAACACGTAAACAGAAATGCTTTAAACGCGGTTAAAGAATATTTACTACAGAGAACTTTTCCTTCCTCGTATAAGATGTATAAATGAACGTTGCTATTGCGACACCCTAAATCGTTCAACAAAAGTGATCCACCATTTATTTCATTACTTTCTTTATCTGGCACTGGGTAAAAGGGGACTAAATTCACTCTCTATATATGAGAGAAGTTAGGAGGAGAATGAATGATAAAATAGGAAAAGACAACTGCACACACAACTTTACAAACACAGTCAAATTCTCAACTCTGAATTCTTTAACTGCTATTTTTCTAATTTTTATTATTTGCTGACTTTAGATTTTAAATATTTACTGTTTTAATTTGTAGCAAATTCAAGACCATAGATTTATATTAACACAAATAGAACACAAGATGTCGTCTTTTCAAGACGCATGCGGCGTAGAACAGGCTCTACGCAGAATGTGCGTAACTCCTTTGGGCGTCTGCCTTAGGATCATTGTGAACGAAAAACCCCTAAATCTTGAAAATACGACATCTAGTGTTCTATCTGAGGTGTTATTAATCAATGACTAAGAAGTCTTTATCGCGGACTAAAAATAATTTTGAATGTCATAAAAAGTAACGATTCTATTTCATTTGGTATCTTTTATAACTTCTTTGAGACAAATATACTTTTCAGTTACCGATGATTGAATAGTATGTAAACGTTACTAACTTTTAGAAACAGCCACAGCTTCAGTTAGACGTTTAAAACCCTTGATCATTTCAAAAGCTTTAATTTTATATTGATTTTAATAAATACACTGCAGTTGTCAAAAATAGATTGATAGAATAAATTATTTAGTTGCTAAAAATGACAATAAAGAATCAATTTAGTGTTTACTAAAAGATTAATAGAATAAATATTAAGCCTATTAGTTGATAAAAATGGTAATTAAGGATCAATTCAGTGTTTACCAAAAGTTTTATGAACTGTCATTAACTACTTTATTAAAAGTTTCTTCATTAGACCAGTCCCAAAATTTCCTGTTGTAAGGAGCGGGGGCAGGCAGGCGGCCATAAGACAAAACATTTTCCCCTTCCATGCCACATAGTAGCTTTTTGCCTTCTGGCAGCCATAAGCCACAAAGCATAGAAGATCGAACGTCTTCTATGCCACAAAATTTGAGTCTTCCGGCAATTATTATGTTTATTATGTATATTATGTTATTATTATTATTTTGTGCATTGAAATTGCGATTTTCAAAAAAATCCAGCCACATCATGCAAAAGATATATATAAAGATTTCCCCTAAAAAATCTTTCCTCTAAATGGTTTATTTTTCAAAACATTATTTACATTAAAAATGATTCACCATAAGTTCATAACATACTTTTGGTGTTCAAAGGGGGTCAATAACCGAAAATGTGCACTGTTTAGTAAGAAAATTGTGAAATAGCTATTTTTTGGTGGAAATCTGTAACCCTTAGGGACAGTTAAGATTTTGATTTTCTTATCTTTTCTTATTCTTTATACTACCCAAAACAATTTGTCTCGGTGTCCTGAATGCGTACAATGATGCAAAATTTTCCTTGTAAAGAGTAAAGGAGTTTATCAACTGAAAACACAATATATTGTTTTTTTTTTGTATTTTTTTTTTATAAAATTCTAAAACTTTTTATGATTTTTAGGTATGATTTTTCGGATAATGTGACTGGACTTTTGAAAATCGCAATTTTAATCGACTATAAATTTATCAATTAAAATGTAATAGCTGTCGGAAGACTCAAATGTTGTGGCATGGAAGACCGAATGGTTATGACTTATGGCTGCCGGAAGATAAAAAAGCTAATATGCGGCATGGAAGGGGGAAATGTTGTGGCTTATGACTGGCCGCCTGCCTTCCAACTCTCTTTTAAAACTTTTGAATATTTAGATTAATGTACAGTATACACCACATCATTGATTTATTTATTTTTATTTTCTTTTGTAAACGTTTTTCAGTTTGACATAAAAAACAATAAAAACTTTTTTTTTTTAAATGTTTATTTATGATTTTGTAAAAGGAGAATAAGAATACAAAATACATTAGCGATCCAGAATTAACTAATTAACGACGACGGAAATATCTAAGCTCATATAAAAAGTCGATTTTTTGTGAAAGTCTTTTTTTAAAGAACTTTAAATTATTATATTTGAAATTTGAGCCACTTCATGTTGTTTATAATGGTTTAAAACGAATTGTTGTATGTTCCCATACTAAAAAATGTCACTATCACCTAAATGTTGCAGTTTAGAAGTAAACTGAGAAAACATAATTTTAGGACGAAAAATAGGTGTGGTAAACAACAAATTTTCCGTTCTTTGCTAAATTGGACTTAACTATCTTTTATTAAAAAAATGCATTTAATATACAATTAAATCATATTAAATAATATATGACGTTGCTTAAATTTGAAAAAAGTGTTTAAAGGGGTAAATAATACATTTGAAAACACAGAAGCAACGCTCGGACGAAAAAAGGTGTGGTCGGAAGAAATTATGGTGAGTTGTGACGTCATTTGTGGTGCGGACGAAAAAATGGTGTGGTGTGCCTTACCCCTGCTCACTGCAGTAATCTATAACACTACAATTACTGAAAAAAGTAGTAAGTTTTAGCTTAGAGTGGTATATGCTAAAGGAAATAAAATGTTTGTTTTTGTTGATGGCATTCTTTTAAAGGTTTATTTAAGGTTTACTAGCATAACCTTTAAAGGGACTATTTCAAGTGAACCTCCATTTTTAGAGAAACATTTCCGATTTACAATGGTACCCGTTAAGCCTTGTTTTGTCAAGAATAAATAAGATGTTTTCAGTTGTCTAGTTGAAAATTGATTATTATCAATCGTGGATTCCCTAAAAAAGTGACTTGCACATATTTGCTACAGAGCTCGAAAGAAATTAACAAAATGAAACACATTTCAGAATTAAGAACATCGATGTTTTCATCTTATCTATTTAAATAGAGGTTTAAAAGGTACTGTTGTAAATCGGACATGCCACTCTTCAACAGGAGGGTCACCACGTTTTAACCTTAAAAGATGATATTTTTCAAAAATACATTATATGAAAAATGTTTAGAATGCTAGAGCTTGAAAGGGATACAATTCAAAACTTGAATCAACAGGTTAGCTGTGTAGTCAGTAAAAAAAGAATTTATTTTTTTAACTGATTTTATAATTTCATTACAATTCAGTTAGTTCTCGAACACATAGCCCTAGCCACACCATTCCATTAGTCTACATCAAGGTAATAAAGGCAAGGAAAGTTAATTGGGGTTGCGTATTCTTTGCAGTCTGCGTACATATTGAAACCAGTTCTCTCTGGGCGGTATTTGTAAACAAGAATAGATGCATCAGTGTTACTCTAGTATCTTCAGTACGAAAAATGCGTACACCTCTGAAATAATTTTCCTTGCCTTATTACCTTGGTTTACATAAAGGTTTAACCCATAGACAAAGATAGACACTCAGGCAACTCATCTCACAAAACCTCCATTCCAAGAGGAAGTGGGGTTCATAAAGTACACATACTACAGAATTTGCAGGGTTTTGTTTTAAACTTCGATTTTGGCATAGGTTTAGATCATATATTTAGATCAAGCATTTAGATAATATATTTAGTAGGCATTTTGCCTTCAACTTAAACAAAAAATAAGAAAGTAAACAAAGGAAGAACTGGAAATATAGCTTGTTGGTGTGCCGGTTATGTTCAAATTAAGTGGTTCAAATCCTATGGATTGAATTAGGTCATACAGATTTACGTTATTATTTTAGTATGAACGGTGATAGAACTAGGGTTGGGAGATCATACCTTTCATCAGCATCATCTCAATCCCTCTGTCAGGTAATACATAGATATATAGATAGATAGATAGATAGATAGATAGATAGATAGATAGATAGATAAATAGATAGATAGATTGAAAGATAGATAGAAAGATAGATATATAGATAGACAGACAGACAGACAGACAGACAGATAGATAGATAGATAGATAGATAGATAGATAGATAGATAGATAGATAGATAGATAGATAAAAGAGACTCTTCATCAAGGATGTAATGCATTATATTCTTGCCCTTCATATACAAACATTTGAGATATTCCTCACATTCTGATCATACTTTCCAACAAAGTGTTCGAATTGTTTAACAACATTTCTTTTACCAGGTTTAATCAAAAGTTGCTTTATCAGAAGTAACCATTTTTAAGTAAAAAAATTAATATAATCAGTGCATTATTTTTTTCTAAATATGTAACAGCTAATATCTATATGTTTGGTAAATAAATGGTCAAATTGAACATGCTTAAATCAAGTCTGTTCAGAGTTTTTAAGAAAAAAAACATTTTAATGTTTGATTTCATGTAAATAATGTACAAACCTACTCCGATCATGTATTTTACTCAAGAAAACCGCTCTACAATAATTCATAATTAATGCTTGGCAGTTCGATATTGTTATTAGATTTTTAAAAAAGCTGTGAATTTGATGTTTGTACGTATTTGTTTAGGTGATTGAGCAGCAGGAGCCCTTAAGCTCTAGTTCAGGAACTACAGGTTAAATATAGAGTGAACGGCGATTATATCATTACAATGAAGACAACCTTTTTATTTAAATTTTGATTGTCAACAAGCTTTTATTGAATTGCAAGGTTACTAGAAATTAAAAAGAAGCTTTTTTAATTGACAGCTTTTGTTTCCATTTTTACATCCATATGCTGTTTAAAAGCTTGATATAAGTCAAAATTTAAATCGATGACTGTGTTTTTTACAGAATTATAATTTGATAATTAAATTTCAACTTAGCTGGCATTCTTTTATGTTGGTATTTTTTGGTCATTTTACCATAGAAAAGAACCAGCCATTTTGTTTAGGAAACGTTTTGTAGCAGGAAACATTTCTTACACAAAATTTTGCAAGTTGACAATTTTGAAAATAGCAAAATGAATGTAATATATATTAGTTAAATATTTTTTCTTCTGTTCTATTTAGTTTAATATTTACTTTTAAAACCTGATCGCTCATTTAGTATTTGAGACAATGTTTTTAAATTATATTTAATTCATGGATTATTTCTATGAAACAAAAAATTTAAGATTTTTTTCTTAAAATTCAATATTTTTATTCCAACAAACAGGTTATTTTTTCACACGATGCTAAAATAGGGGGTTTTAATTTACAATATTGAGTAAGATGAACATATTTATAAGTTCAAAGTTTAATTTACTATTTCTTTTTTGTTTAGGATCTGATCTTGACTCCGATGATGCTGGATCAGAATATTCACCAAGCGAACCAGAGGAGAAGGTGACCAGGAAATTTTAGACAAAAACCTTTAGGTCTTGATTGAACTTCACTTTGGCAGAATATTTATTGTGCATAAGTAAATAAAAAAATAAACTTACATTTGGTAATTTTCAATAGACGCCAGATTACTAAATAATGTTAAATTTCTCATGAACTGAACTGAACAAAGGAACTGAATACGTGCCACAAATTATATATATATTTAACAAAATTTAGTAGATCAAATAGTCTAAGTTTAAAATACCAAAAAAAAATTTAATTTGTTGAGGGGATGCATAAAAAACCGCAATTATAATCTTCCTTCACAAAATAATTTTGTTTAGATTAACAAAAATTCAATCATAAAAAAATAATTGAAGTATAAAAATGAATTAACTTAATTATTCCCAGCAGCAAAATAAAGAAAATGTTTTTACTGTGGAGCCCCTGATCTGCATACTGCAGTACTTTGTGTACTGCAGCCTGATTCTAGAACAATCCACCTTAGTATATAAACTCATATCAGGGTTAGTGCATGGGTACTGGAATAGGGTAAGGTAGTCATATAATTCTAGCTTCTGTATCTTACCTACGTCATAACCCGGTACAGGGCACAAAGTGGACACTGGCGAGTATATGCATAATTGTGATTGGCATTTCTTTGGCGGTCTGAGAATTCTCCACCAATAGTTTTAATCAGTGACGTCAGAGGATACGGATCTTCCTCCCGTACCGTATCGACCTTTCATTCGTGCGCGAGCCTCATTGGGATACCCTATTCCAGTACCCATGGGTTAGTGTATCACGTCTGGGTTAGTATATAAACCCCGACGTAAATTTTTTTCTCTCGGCAGCCACCTCACCCTGGTCAACCTTCTACACTTCAACCCTGTTTTTTCTTCAAGTACCTGTTCATAGAGAAGCTTCCCAAGGATTTGAGAGGCCAGCTGGCAACTATCAAGGTTGATGATTACCGTTTTATTGGACCTGAAGCTGACAAGCTATACAATTTGTTGTATCCAGATGGGTTTACTACTTACTCAGCAGCAGCTGTCAACATTGAGACTGAAGAAGTTATTGCTGTTTCTAGCCAGTCATCTGAGCGTCACAGACCTAAGAATCGGCAGAAGAAGAGTATATGAACCTGCTCTGGTAGTAATCAGGAAGGCAGGAGAGCACAGCCATCCTCCACTCAAGATGGTCTTTGTTACTATCATGAGAACTTTGGCAGTCAAGCTAGGAAGTGTGAGGGATCCTGTTCATTCAACCAGGGAAGCGCTATGACCGGCAGGAGGAGATAATTTCTTCTACTGCCGGAGAATTCCCTTCCAATGACCTCAAGCTGGTTTCTGCAGATGGATCTGCGATTAAATCATATGGTTCTCGTATACTACCAGTGAGATTGGAAGGACGTCATATTACTTGGTCTTTTGTTTTAGCAGCAGTTGACAGACCAATCCTAGGGCCAGACTTTCTGGGTGTTAATCATCTTATGGTTGACATCTCCAATTGACAGCTAGTCGACAGTTTGATACATGTTAAGTCATCACTGCCCCACCCACACCAGCTGAAGAAGAGTTTCATGCTGCACTCCTGACTGTGCAACCTGATTTCCAACCTCTTCTCTCTGAGTTCCCTGATGTTTTTTGCTCGCACATCAGCCCTTCAAAGCCTAAACATAAGATTGAGCACCATATTGTTACTCAAGGACCACCAGTTTTTGCCAAATCTCACCGCCTTGACCAATAACGCCTGGAAGTGGCCAGTTCCAAGCTATGGAAGAAGCAGGTATAATCCGCGTTCAGACAGTCCTTGGGCATCCCCTCTTCATATGGTGCCTAAAGCAGATGGGTCCTGGCGCCCATGCGGTGATTACCGCAGACTCAACAATGCAACAACTCCAGATAGGTACCCATTGCCAAAAATCTCTGAGTTTTCAGCTAGGCTGGCTGGCTGTACTATATACTCCAAGTTGGATTTGGTGAAGGGATGTTATCAAGTTCCTATGTACCCAGATGACATCCCTAAGACAGCTATTATTACACCATTTGGCCTCTTTGAATTTTTGAAGATGCCCTTCGGCCTGAGAAATGCTGCCAACACTTTTCAGAGACTGATGGACACAGTCTGTTGAGATCTTCCTTTCACATTCATCTATCTGGATGATCTACTGAGTGCCAGCACAGATCTCAATACCCACCTGGATCATTTGCGTCTTGTTCTTGAGAGGTTGCAGGAGGCTGGTTTGATTGTGAACATTGATAAGTGTGAGTTTGGTGTCTCAGAAACAACATTATTTGGACACCATGTTTCTGCTGATGGTATCCGCCCCATCATTTTGAAGCCATCCGCCAGTCTCCCCACCCAAGGACATTAAGGAGCTTCAGAGATTCATCGGATTGATAAATTTTTACAGGAAATTTATCTATGGGGCAGCCAAGTTTCTCCATCATCTTACCAATGGTCCGCAGAGATGGATTCTGCTTTTGCAAAGGCCAAGAATGTACTCATCTCAATACCAACTCTCATCATTCTGATCCAACTGCACATATTTCTCTAGCAAATGACGCATCAGATACCCAAATAGGAGGTGTTCTCCAGCAGTTGCACCTTGGTTCCTGGGCACCTCCAATGAGATATTGAATAGAAGGAGGGGGCAATAGGGGTTCCGTACAATTTGCTGTGACGTTTTTGGACTGCTGAAGAACTAGTTTTTGCACAACAACAATAATAAAGATTGTAAACAATAACACAAATGATAATCAGACATCTGGCATCTCTGGCGAAGTCGCACTGCTTTGCAGACCAGTACTTTAAACTAACACACACTCTTCTATTACAGACACACACTCATGACTACAGTCAAGGAAATTGTAGAACAATGTCGTCGATTATAATTAAACTTAAATAACGATTAGTTTATTGTAAACTTCCATCAAATTATATTCTTGGCATGAAAATTTGGCTTTACAGTGTTGACTTAAAAATTTAAATAATATATTACATGTATATTAAACTTATTTCTAAGTAAACAATTAACAATAAACAAATGTACTCTCCTAAGCTGTACAAATACCGAGATTCTTACGTACTGTATAAACCTACAGTACACACCTTCGGTATTTTAAACTGACACACACTCTTTTGGTACAGACACACACACATGACGTTTCCGCCCCCTGAACGATCCCCCTTAGTATATAAACTCATTGTATGTATATTATTTGAAATACAGTATTCTACAGTAGCTTGTCTTATTCACTTAAGACAGTAATTCTTCATTATATTAATAATATAAGCTATAGTTTAAAGTGCACCTAAGTTTTTAAAGGATCAAGAACAAGAAATGCAAGAAAAATACTTTAATTCTTTAAAGAGACTCTAAGCGAAATTTTCAAGTCACCATTCATGCAATAATGGAAATGCCCAAGAAACAACGGCACCCTTAAAAGCTTTGTCTGATCAATTATAATGGAATACCAATGTTAAAAAAACTTATAGGGTCACGTTAAATTACGCTTTAAAGTAACATTAAACTTTTTTCTGAGTAGATAGAAGATGAGGGTGAGGAGGATGGGGGAGGAGGGGATGACAATGAAGGAGAAGGAATGGATAAGTTTGATGATGGAAAATGTAGAAAACAAATTCAACAGTTGTGTGAAGACCTGAAAGACAAGCTGGAGTACTCTGATAGTGGTAAAGGATAAACACATGGAGATGCGCGTTGAACATCCTTTGTATGTTTTCGATTCCTTTTGAATATTTCAAAGCAAATCGTATTAAGCAAGTTTTTTTTCTTTTGAAAATGATTGGTTCGTTTTGCATTACAAATTTAGTATTAAGTAAAAAACTGCCCATCCATTTAGAAATTATTCTGATAAACATAAACTTGTGTCATAAAACGAAAAACAGCAACTTCTTGACTTAAATTAATGGACAATCTTTGTAAATTTAACTGACCCATACGCTTATGCCCTTTAAATCTTTATTTGATCAATGAATGTGGTGTGGAAGCTGTCTTTGTTTTTCTAACTTTAAAAGTGTAAATTTAAGGTCTTAGAATTTCTCTAATTGTTTAATTTTGGAGCACAAAATCCGCAAAGTTTTAAGAAGTTGTCCTTGTGAAAAATAAAGGGTATTGTTTTAAATTACGTACATTTAGTTCCTTTAAATAATGTTCAGGTGAGTTTCATGCCCCCGGACTGTGTGCTTTTTTACTCTCATTGGTCTCTCTTCTTCTAGTTCTAGCAACTATGCCTTTATCCCTCTACATGTGCATTAAGGTTTAATTAACGGGGATATATTTTCACACAAAAATTTTTTTCCTCCATATCCTCCCTGGAAAATGAAGGAAAATTTGGAAATCAATTCAATATTTTTACATACTAAAATTTGTTACTATTATTATTATTTTACATATTATTATTATTATTACAATAATTTTTATTTTTATTATTATTATCATTATTATCAATATTATCATCATCATTGTGATAATTATTGTGATTAGTATTAGTAAAATTATTATTTTCATCATTATTATCCTTTTATCATCATTTTTACAGGTTGTCCAGGAATATGAGCGAGCAGTTATTTTTAGATTGGGACGTCTGGTTCGAGGGGGAGCTAAGGAAAAACCATATCTAAAAATTTTAAAGTTTCAAATAACTTTTTATAATAGAATTTTAAAATAATAAATTGGTTAGTTCAATCGTATCGTACAAAACAGGAAACACAATTGTGAATCGTCTAGGGAACTTTTTTTTATCTGAATGGCCACATAGATTAACTTAGTAACCACTTATTTCAACCTATTTTTACTGGTCAGAAAAGAAACTTAGAAGCACCAAAATATGTTTTCTAGTTTTCACGAAGAAACTAAACTTTCTCGTTGCCAACTTTTCCAGTCTTCCATCCAACATTCGGTTTTATCAGTTCTCCAATCAATTTCATTGTTCCAGTCCTTCAGTTGTTCATCAAAGAGACTTCCGTTGTAATTTTATTTGACCTTTTATTTCCAGAGGGGTAGGCCTGTCCGATTAAAACCTTTGTTTTCACAATAATGTCGTTTTTCTCGATTTAATAGTGTTTAATTCTGATAATTTTTTCCCCTATAACTTCTGAAGCATAAATATGAAAAACAAAAGTCATTTTAATTTTTAAAGAGAAGATGATGGACATTGGACATCTCATGCAATCCTATAAGGTTGCCATTGTAAACCGCGGACATTCCAGTCTATAAATGGATGAAAGATCTAACAAATTAGCTGGACAACAAGCAAATTGAAAACATATTTCTTAAATATGGGTTTTAGGGTCCCGGAATTTTCTTTATCTTGCCTTGCATAGACACGTATAAAAAGGTAAACAAAAGAAAAAAATTTACTTTTAGAAAATATTCTAAAATGCAGAGAAAACAAATATTTCAGGTTGATCTAAGAACTGTGTCCTTTGATGTGCCGCCACAAGAGGTTTGTTGAAGAATTTAATCAGACTTTATCAGGCTTTATACACTCCTCTCCTGTTAAATGCAAGCTTTTAAATATTGGACGATCAACTTCGGTGTTCTGACGTTCTGTTTATTTTAAACCAACAAACCAACAAAAAGAAACGAACTGGCAAAATATATTACCACTTTATATACACTGTAAAACAAAAACATTTCGCGGATTTTATAAGAAGAAATTCGTGGAATTTTAAAATTGTCAAATTTTGTTAGAGGCAAATTTTTGAAAACTCGATCATCAAAATACCTTCCCTAGGGTCACGCGAGGTACCACAAAATATTTGGGCCTGAAAGGCTCAGCTGTTTTGGCGTTTATTGGATACAAACATACAGACAGACAAACAAATTATATATGCTCTCTTGAGTTACAGTTGAAATCAAGTAGATCATCAGTACTGTTTATGTGTAACACAACCCTGGAAGGAGGGAAGAAGTAAATTGTTCAGGATAAAAAATAGAACTGGGATTTAGCTTAAAACTTTAAGCTATTTTTATTAACATGATAAATTGCATAACTTTTACGTTGTATAACGCAATTAACGTTGTAACGCCTGAACTCATCGTGGCCAAGTGTTTTTTTGTCTATTGTAAAATTTTTCAGAATTCATTAAAAAAATTAGAATAATCACAATTTTTTTACAATGTAAAACAAAAAAGGTGTCTTTAAAACAACAATTAAAAGCTAAAATTATGGCTTGTAGAAAGGGAGCCGAAATCCAATATAAACTGATATTAACATAATTCCACTTTAAATGAATGAAACAAAGGAATTCTTGATCAAAAGCTAAACTTCCCAGCAAACACAAGTTATGAGTTGGAAATTTCTGTCGTGCGGTAAAAAAAATTGTATGCACTGGGATACGTCTAGTTAAACTATTGGGTAGCGTAATGAAATTGTATGAAATTGTATGCCCTGAGCTAAGTGTCTTCACTACGTGAGCACAAACGTTACATTATTTGTCAAGAATTCGTCAGTTATATTTCAACACTGCTTACCTGTAACAGAAAAATGTAAAAAAGATCTAGGCTTTAGAATCAATAAAAAGGATTTAATAAAAATGGAAGGATTATCTTATGATATAAATATTTTTTATTTTTCTTACAAATTTTAGTGTAGTATTTTAAAAAGATGGTGTATATGATGTTTATGGTGTTTATGTATAGTATACCTATTTCCGTCCCTCCATCAGATTACTGCATATGGAATGTTCTTTTTAACCCTATGTCTGTTTAAAGTGTCCATGTCACCCTCGACTAACTACGCTGTTTATCAAAGCAATGGGTTTTTGACTAAAATTCTGATTTTCTAGCCCGCCATCTTTGCAACCCGGTTATTGTAGACCTTTCATATTTCAAACTAAATATTCTGTTAGATCAAATAATCTAAGTTTAACATTTCAAAGGTCTACGCCATCAGGTTGCAAAGATAAAGCCTCATACTTAAAGTTCATAATCAATTTAAACCTGATTTCGTAGACCATTGATATTTCACAACCTGAATTCTTCTAAATCAAACAGTCAATTTTTTTTGATATTAAAGGTTTTCATTATCGGGTCACAAAGATATTTTTAGAATTGTATAGAGTAATTAATTTATTAAAAAAAACCTTTTCAGGTTCTCTCGCGTGATTCTGTGACAGTAACAGTGGATGCTGTGGTCTACTACAGAGTATCTAACCCTACTATGGCCACAAATAATGTGGAAGATTATGGTCATTCCACGCATCTTTTAGGAGCTACCACACTTAGGTAAGGACACAATACTGGTGTTTTTTATCTCGTAAGGAACTACCTCGTATAACTAAATTAAATAAATATGTTAAATATCAGGGTTGGAGAAGTACATTTGTTTTGTTCCTTTAATTCAAAAAGCTGGTCCTACAAGGTTAAAACAATTAAAATATGACAATTTCAAGATTAATATGCGTCTTCTGTTTTAAATTTTAATGTGACAAATGTTTTTTATGTCAGAAACGTGTTGGGAACTAAATGTTTGGCAGAAATACTCTCTGAGCGTGAAGAAATCTCTCATTGGATGGAAACTACTCTTGATGAGGCAACCGACCCTTGGGGAGTTAAAGTAGAACGAGTCGAAATGTAAGTAAAAACAAATGTTATGTTAAATATGTTGTATTTCATGTTAAGCTAAAGTAAATTGCACGTAAGATTAAAATCGTATGTTTTCTACAAAAACAAAGTTAACGAGAAGAAGAAAATTGTTTGGAAATTCTACAACATATGTAACCAAATTACTTTTTCTTCATACTTAAGCGTAAAATAAAAAACGAGGAGCAACAAGGTCACCAGTAATTTTGCATAAAGTTGATTTACTCCTTCTTTTCGGTTTGCAGTTATTTTTGACTAAAGCTTTGCTGATAAAAAATTCTTCGCAGTTCTAACAGTTTGTTATATAAAAAAATACACAATTATGCTATCAGAAAAAGAAAAATTTTCGTCCTAGAGTTTAGCAGAGTTGGGTTTGATTAGAGAAGATTTATTTATTTATTTACAAATCTTATTATGATTGAAAATCACAAAACTGAATCATCGACAATAACACTCAAATCTAGAATCTAGACATTTGAAAAAGGTCTTTCGGACAAATTACTGGAAAAGCTTTGTGACCTCATAAACCATTAGTTCTGATTTTACGCACAAGTATGCAATGCAAACGCCTCAAACAAAAATAGAGAAGTATTTTTGCCAATTACTCCTTTTGAAATTGAGCTAGAAACAAGTTTTTTGCATTATATATGTCTAGGGCTAAACAAGTATAAGTGAGCTAGTGAGGCAAAAACAAAGGCCAAGTCGTTGATAAACTTAAAAGTCAAGGCTATCTAAAAAGTCAATGACTAAGTTCCAAGACCTTTAATATTTCAAAATATATGCCATGTTTGATCAAATGAAAAAGTTTTCACCATCAGGTTTCAAATATATAAGGATTAGAAAATTACACTTTGTAAAAAGTGTGCATTTTCTTTAGTTTAATTGTGCATGGGATCTGTAGGTCAAACCCTGATCCCTCAATATTTTCTAGAACTAATAATCTATATCCTCCATATAAACCTTAATATATTCTGGAGATGAAGATTGTGGCCAAATATGTAGATGACCCCCTCCCCCCCTCTCTCCTTCTCTCATCTCCTCCTCTCCCTCTTTAATTCTCTTGATTTACGTTTTATTTCGTCGCAAAATTTCAATTGTCCAGACTACAAAGACCCACATGTTACCAGTAAATTTGGTATTGGCAAAATTGTTTTTCATAAAGTTTGCCCTAAAAAATTCTTAACAAAGCTTATTATTAGAAAAGATGTTCGTTTACCGGTGATTTTACAAAGAGCTATGGCAGCAGAAGCAGAAGCAGCTAGAGAAGCCAGAGCTAAGGTATCTATTGGAAGTTTTTGAAATTCAACAGTCAACCTTCATTTTTAAGGAAGTTGGTACGTAGTACGTGTATTCCGTAGTAAACGGATAATTAACGAACCTCTAGTTGTAAAGTTGCAGGTCTGGCCTTCAGAACGATACCCTTGTAATAAATATCGTAGCAAACCCCAAATTTATAAACCTAAACACACCTCGACATATTACGTTGAACATTGTAACCCAAATACGTCAAACCTGCTTTGCAATTAAACCTAACTACGCTTATCAAACTACAAAAAACTTTCATAAATGTAATCTCTACCATATGAATTCAAAATAAATTTCAGTTGGAATAATACTCCGATTGATTATGGTGTGAGAGTAATTTTTTCCTCATTTAGCGAAGGAGACAGACCTGAGTTGTATTGGTATTAATAGATATAGACCAGGGAGATACAGAGAGTATTGGATTGAGTTGTATCTACAAAGACAGATACCTGAGAATACAGAAAGTCGTATCCGGATTGATATTGACTAACAAAGGAATTGAGTCTTTGCCACAAACTCTGATTTTCTAATCACTATATCTTCGGAACCAAATCTTGCAGACCTTAGATATTTCAAACTATGAATTCTGTTAGATAAATAATCTGAGTTTGAAATATCAAAGGTTTACAACATCGGGTTCTAAAGATATTGAGGTTTCAATATTTGATTTTGTTCCAAAGACTCAATTCCTTATTGAGGAACTTTTTGTTCGAAATTGAGTTGTATCTTGTAAGACAGATGCCTGAGAATACAGATAGAGTCATATCCGGTTTGATTATGACTAAGGTATTATTGATGAGCCGTGAGTTCAAGATTGAGTTGTATCTTGTAAGACAGATGCCTGAGAATGCAGACAGAGTCATATCCGAATTGATATTGACAAAGGTATTCCTGCAGTAAATTACCTACTCCATAAACTGCTTTCAGATTTGTATCTGTCCAGGTACAGCTTGCAAACTATCAATGCCAAGCCAATGGGCATGATCTCAAAGGCTTCAATGTCAACCGGACGTAAGCACGCAAACTATTAATTCCAAACCAATGGGCACAATCTCATAAGCTTCAATGTCAACCGGACGTAAGCACGCAAACTATAAATGCCAAACCACAAATATTCAGCCTTCTTTTAAAAAGTCTCATCCATTTTTAAGACAGGGTCGACTTGGAAGTGTCACAACGCCTTGGGCTTTGGTTCTACCGCGCTCTAACTCAGTAATGCTTTTCTGAAGCCCTTTACATTTTAGCATTATAAAGCACTTGTTGATAGCTTCGGGTTTAAAAAAGTAATTGGCAAAATTCTCATCGATTTTTGCTTGAGAGCGTGAGACCTTTATATCACTTTGAGGGCCAGAGTCCGAATTTAATAAATTTGAGCCGCGTCTCAAATCCACCAAAAACTGGTTTCAATTGAGCGCCGGCTTAAATTGACAACAATTTTAAGTAGGACCACCCATATTTGAGCCGCGGCTCAAATTCTTTAAATTCGGCCTCTGATTTAATAAACATCTTAGCTTAAACCGGCGCTCAAAGACGTGATTCAACTTTGTCTATTTGTTTTAACTATGTCTTTAAGCTATTAAGATAAGATTTCTTAAGAGGATATATTAGTGATTCTAAACTGTCCTAGATTCTTAATGAAAGCGAGAAATAAAAAGATCTTGAAGATTGAGGAAAAGTTGATTAGATCCTAGTTTTCATTCAGTGCACCTTCAACTATTTCTATCTATACCAGCTTTCGCCATGTCTATATATCTATCTATCTATCTCTATCTATCTATCTATCTATCTATCTTTCTATCTATCTATCTATTTATCTATCTATCTATATATCTATCTATGTATCTATCTATATATCTATCTATATATTTATCTATCTATCTATTTAACTATCCGTCTCGCTATCTATCTATCTATATATACATTTCTATGTTACTTTATTGCTGACCTTCTCTCTGGTCAATTGGAGTCTGCCAGGGCTGGGCAACTGTACATTATTCTTCCTCTATATCTTTTATATATATATATACAGGGTGTCTCTAAAAAAGTGTGTTTAGGCTATTTAGCCTTCAAGACATTGTTGTTTTGTGTTACAAAGTACTCTGAAAAGGTACAAAGTGCTCTGAGAAGGTACAAAGTCCATAAAAATAATTTTCTCTAAAAATTCCGTTTTATCCTTTATAAGTTATGCTTAAGATTTCCAAATATTTTTAAATAAATTTAAATCATAAGTTCAGTTTCACGTTTCAATAAATTTCATATTTTCAGTATATAGATTTCAGGATTTTCAAAATAATTGGCATAAAAGGAGGTTTGAATTTTTAAAAATCTTTTAAAAAGGACCTAGTATATTTTTTAAGGTTAAAACGGGATTTCAAAGCAAAATGTTTCAATGACACCCCCCCCCCTTGTGTGTGTATTTTATCTACAAGTACAAAAAAACGACGTTTGGTGGGTAAAAGCAATATCTTTGGTAAATGAACTGAGCATATTTTCGAATAAAAGGCGCCTAACTAAGGTTAAAACGGCATTTCAGAGAAACATGTTGTATTGACGAATGGACTTTGTACCTACTAGGAGCACTATTTAACACAATACTACGATGTTTAATAGGCTTAAAAGCCTAAACACACTTTTTCAGAGACATTCTATATATACATATATATAGTATTTTCAACTTTGTTAAAGGGAATGACCGGCTATGTAAGGTAGTTGAACTGAGTATGCAGTGTTGTGGAAAGCTTCTTTCGGATTCATTTGATACAAATTAAACTTTTTAAAGATCTGTAAATCCTGAGTTTGAGCGCAAAGTCGATGTTCAAAACTCCTACTTTGGGGGTGGATACGTTTTCAGAATTCGTTTTTTTTTGAATTATTAAATAACTCAGTTCAACTACCTTACATAGCCGGCCACTCCCTTTAAGTTTAAATATACATTTTAGATGATTTAATATATATTTTTTCCAAGACAAAATGTTTCATGGATCTAAATATTTGATTGCCACTTTCTGATGTATTTTGGAATACAGTCGTGCACCAAACATCTTTCGAAACTACAAGGTCAAGTTTTTGAGATCTCCGCCTTGAGAAAAAATGTTGGACAAATTGATAAGTTTTGGGGTACAAACAAATATCACTAAAACAGTCTATGTAAATTCATACGTGTAAAGGAACGGGGTTCTTCCCCACAAACTCTAATTATCTAATCCCTTTATATCTTTTTGCAACCCAATGTCGTAGACTTTTGAAATTTCAAACTATGTTCTGTTAGCCCAAATAATCTAAGTTTCAAATATCAAAGGTGTCCACCATCAGGTTGCAAATATATTAGGATTACAAAATATGAGGTAGCGGCAAAGACAGCAGTTTCTGCATACATATGTCAATTTAATGTCTCAATATTATGACAAATATGATATTTTAAATGATTTCACTTCAAAATTTCGCTATTCAATTCTCTCACACAAAAATGTTTAACTTGTAGAAATTAATATCGTGATTATTTTGCTTAATAAATTTTCAATAAAGATCTTTAAACTTCATCACAAAGCTTACATATTAAAAGTGCTAAAATTAATTAAGTCTTTGCCACAAACTCGTATTTTCTAATCCCAATAAATTTGCAATTAAATGTCGTAGACCTTAGATATTTCAACCTATAAATCAGGATGCAAAGATATGAGGCTAAACAAAATTTTAGTTTAATGCAGAAACTGAATTTCTATCCCCGTTTTAATATATAGGAGATAATAAAAATAAGACTCAATTTTGTTAAAGATTAGGTCGTGGGTACGTCTATTGTTAATATTCTATGATTCTTTGATATATGATACTAGGTACTCGGCTGTATTGTTCAAGCATGAAAAAGTA